ACCAGACCTGCTTTATGTAATGAAAATCGTTCAATTTAGTCTTTATTCGTGTTGTAGTGGACATTATACTTTCATTTTGGTTTTAGTGTTTTTTTTGCGTACTGTTTTTATTTTTATGTTAGTTACCTGGAATATTTTTTTCTATTGCAGACACACACACTTACACGCACACACATTGTGCCCAAGTATCTTTCGGAGAATCATTAAGAATGTAGTGATGAACAACCACAAAAAAATACCCACATATAATTTACTGCAAACCGATAAAACTGTATTAATAAAGGCCTGAAAAATCATGTATATATTATATATGTGATTTTTAGGTGAAGCAAACAATATTAATAGATGAATAGTATTGCGATTTCATATCTACCAATGAACTGTATTTTTACACTGTAAATTTAATGTTACATCCTCAACAGCATTAGCCAAGTCTCAGCATGCATCGCAAGGCAAATAATGCAAGGGTTCCTAAAACTTTTAGCCCAAGACCCCCAAAATAACAGTGCCAGAGACTTGCAATCCCCATCTTGGTAGATTTTACACTGGTTATGAAGCAGTTTTCCATGTCTTACACTGTAGACAATGAAATGTAAATATATTAACTCCTTAATGGAATGATTCAACGTAACTCGTTTTCAACATAATAAGTCAAAGTTCTTTTCTACTTTGGTCAAGCTGCCACATGACTTCTGGGTGGAATCTGTACATAGATGTTTATTGATAAAAAAAATTATAATTCTCTGTTTTTTCTAAGATCATTGTTTTATTTAATGCTTTATGTTTTGTCAATGAGATCAGGTCATGCTTGCTAGAATACGTGTTGGACAAATTTGTACAGCAGTAAAGTGTTGTGTTTTGAATATATCAGCACTGTGTCATTCCTATATTATACACTTATGCTTTCTGAGGAACTGTATGCAATTACTGTATTTGCTGTCAGAGTTTCCTGTACGGATAAGTAAATTTCATAAGCACAGTCAGTGTATAAAGACCACACCCAAACACATAGCATTTTCAGTTCCCAATAATTGTTTGTCTTTATTCAATAAAGAGCCCAGTATGTTAAATCAGTTCCATCATTTATTTCATATAGGCATAAATGTTTAACTGGCTGAGTGGGCATCACTGCCGCATCATATCCGTATTTTGGGGATTTGAACCCTACCTATGCCCCACTTACAGGGAGTTTGCATGTTCTACACCAGTAGTGTATTTTTCCCCCTGCAGACCAAAGACACACAGTTAGGTTAACTGACCCTAACTAGACCCCTTTTATTGGGGCATGTGTCCCAGTATTTACATGCAGTGCCCCAGTAAAATCTCACGTTCAAATCATATGGATAATGGGGGTGGGGGTGGGGGGCTGTGCCCCAGCAGAGGTTTATGTCTAGCAATGTTAATTTGAAAACAGAAATATTTTACATACATGCTGTAAAACTATGAATATCTTTCCGTAGCAACATATTTGAGAATATTGAAAATGCATTGAATATGTCCTTTGTTGATTAAGTAAATGTGTGATCAATAAATATGATAAATAAAGTATATTTTCTGTCAGATTTCCTTGTCATGCACCTTTGTGTTTTGCACACAATCACATTTTTGTCTCCTATTTGTGAATTTCTGCTGCGATGGACTGCTATCCCTACCAGAATATACCCCAGCCTGTACCACATCAATCGTCAAACTTGTCTGTACACAGACAAACCTGTCCGTGGTAAAGGCTCATCTGTGTTTGCGGCAAAATGTTTTAACTGAGAGAAAAACTATGTATTAGGGCTGGATGATTTTCTAATATTACACCCTATGTATTGTATTATGTATTTATTAAAATTAGATTCCCCTTTGCAGTCCATTCGAGTTTTCACTTTTCAGGATCTCAATCTTTTTTTATCAGCATTTCTAACAGAATTTTAAGCAGTAATGGAGACTTAATGTAAATTAATGACTTATTTTGTGATAAATATTGATATCAATTGATGTGAAAAAAATTATCACACACAATAAAACATTTTGCCATATCACACAAAGTTACATTGTTAAATACTGTATTGATGGTGAAATGCACTTTGATGAAATAAAGTCCATCAGTGTTGGTGATAGTAATGATCCCAGCCACAAGCAATAGACTCCGCCTACCTCCCACTTCCCCACCTCACCAAAATAAATGGCTGGAAAATGGGTGGATTGCTATTTGTGAGTTCTGTTTTGCTCAGTATAAGTCGTCTCTGCTAAACTGCAGGGCAGAAATGACCAGGAAAATGCAGTCTTTGCAATTAATGAATGAGTTACTTTCTGTTAATTACCATGACTGTGCTGGCATTCTGGTTAGAGTGCTGTCCTCTCCTTTGTCCTATAGCTGGCAATTAAGCAGCATTAATGATTCTCCATAATCACCTCAATCATGTGCTTATTTTTATAACCACCTTTATTCTAGCTGTGAGACTTTTGTTGAATGAGCAAACAAATTTATGGTATTTTTCATATAATTTTTATAGTACATATACAATACCTCTCCTCCAACTGAATGAGACCATTATTCATGGAAAAACAATGGCAGTTAATTATCTTCCCAGGCAATTTATTTCCACTATGACTTACATAGTTGGGTTCGAGGACTGGATGGGGTTTGTTCTGCTCCCACCGCCCCCGTCAGAATAGCATACTGTCAATAATGCCATTCCATGTAATTAGCATCATAGCGTGAGCGTAGGATACTGGCACCCACTGCAGGGTGATCCCCCGGCCCACTGCACCCCTGTACTGGATGTGCAGTGCGGAAGACGAGTGGGTGGACAAATGTAGCTTACATCGCTAGCTAATGCTAAAGTTTTATCACTTTTATAAATGCTGCACTCATCTGTTGTATGTTTTGCTTTTTTTTATTACTAAGAAAAACAAGCATTACATTTCATTTCCCAAAAGCAGTTGACAAGCGGGGCTGTCATTTTGCACAATGAATCACAACAAAATGCAAAAGCTATGAATATAAAATGGAAAAATGGTACCCTCCATTCATACAATAGATCAATGTAGCTTTGTATACAGAATGAGCCTATCCCTTGAGGACCACAATCCTGCACATATTGCTTTTAACGTTCAATTTGCAGCTGATTCATTCCTTAGACAATGGGTGCATGACTTGGTATCATAATAATTGCTTCAATCAAGCTGCAGTGCACTGAAATTAAATATGACCAGAAAAGCCTGCAGCACAACAGGAGCAGGTTTGCCCCCCCCACGGAAACCACTTAGGGACTGCTTTGTATTTTCATATGCAGAGTGTAACACTAATCAGCTCATAGGTCTCGTAATAGCAACAAGGATAATGTAGAAAATGAATCTATATTGTATGATGATGCATTCAATGCACAGAAAAATTAAATGAGCGTGGTCATGAAACGTTTTCGCTGGATTTTTAGGACAAAGGTGGAAAAAGAATTTGATGGAATGTGTCACTTTTTTTTTGCATATTTTGTTGTACATGTGTGTGTCATTAAGCATATTAAACCTGCCACCAAATAGTTGAAGTATACCGAGTGGTTTACAAAGTACTATAAACAGAATGAAGAGCCTAGAGCCCTCAGGATTCGTTGCTGCCTGTTAGCCCCATTGTCATTAATCCAATGGGAGTCATACTGAACTGGAACATTGGCCATAAGGCAGGCTGGAGTACTTAATGCATAAGCTTACCCGGACGTAAGTCCATCCGATCGGCACAAACACAAACATCATACGGAGCAAGATCTCTTAGGATTGTGCAGGGGAACCAGCACACCTGGTGAAAATCCACACAAACAGGCAGAGAACATGTCAAACATGGGGAAAAATACGGGCCCCCGCAAACCTGCAGGTGCTGGGGAGGGATACGGACACCCTCCGGCTTGGTGAAGTCAGCTGACGTGCACACTCATGCAGAGCACAAGTGTGCTACACAAAGTCATCATTAGGCCGCACGAATACGTCTTCAGGGTCTCCACAACATTCACCCGCAGTCTAGTTAATGAATTCATCATCTCCAAAGTATCAGGCTGATTTAAATGTAATGCACACACAATACAGTTTGTCAAGGAACCTTCACTGTTGTCCAGAAGCAGACAGTGCTTAACTCATTACAGAAATAGTGGGTCAAACTATGAAATAAATTAACAGGAGTTTCATGCCATATGAGCTGTGGGGGATTTTCATGGGTCATTTAATCTCTACCAAGCTATGTCACGAACTGCAGTGATATTCTGCATCAGGTTATCACAGACTTTTGTGAACATGGGCTATATCCCTTGCATTAAAACCAGCCTAAAATAGAAAGGAGCTCTGCATATTTAGACGACTGAATAATTAAATTTTGTTTTGAGGTTTAATCTCATTTTCACTGTTTAAATGGCTGTCTTTCACCGAATCCAATCTGGTTGCCGCAGGACAGATTGTGTTTGGCTTCTGGGTTTGTCATTGATGAGGTTCTGTGTCTAGGAGACTTTCAGAAAAGACTCTGGGAGGGAGTGAGCACTGGGTAATGAGATAATTTCTTCAAGGATTCCCAAATGGGCAACTCAATAAATAAGCCCACTGGTCTCCCTGGGTGCACGTAAGTTGCTGGGAATTGCTCAGGCCCTGCGCCGAGTCCTTTGCAGCATCTTAAAAAGTTGCAATATTGAAAATAAAGCAGACAAACAGGGATGTGAGTCCAGTGAGCTCCCTGCCAGCTCAGAGGCAGTGTGATACTGATCAGGCCGATGCTGATTTACAATCATAATTGTAACCTGATTTGGAAGGAAAATTTCAAGAAAATTCCTTGCCAGTGCATTTTTAGCATATAAGTTCGTTCGTCAATGAAGAAGAACTTAAAAGAATGATCTCCCGGTGATCTCCTCTTTCTTATATTGAACACCATATTAGTGTTGGTAACTCAATTGAGAGAAAAGTCCCAAATTAATGCTTTGAAAACAATGGTAGGAGAAGATGTCACTGCTGGGTCGACTTAATGGCACAGCCTGGAGTCTGAGCAGAGGAACATCTTCCTGAAGGTGCTTCGGAGCTCTGCACTCCGAAAGGCATAAATGGCTGGGTCAATGACAGCGTGGCTCATCAGGAGAATGACATGGATTTGGAAGAGGGATCGATAACACTCACAGTATGGGTTCTGAGGGCATACCATGATGATGAGCAGGTGGAGGAAAAATGGAGACCAACATGCAATAAAGACCCCAAATAGGATGGTGAGGGTCAGTGCTCCCCTCAGATTGTGATGCTTGGTACTTCCTGGCAGGGAGGCAATCTTCCTGGCATGATGTCTGGCCAGAAGAAACATGTGAACATAAAGGAAGAGGATGAGGACCAGAGCAAACACAAAGAGGATGATGAAGCACATCATGATGGCAACATTGTGGAAGAACACTACCATGACCACACCGGTGCAGCCACAGAATGCCCAGATGGCTGAAAGGATGGCCTTGGCTCGCTTCATGGTCATGATGTTGTGGTACCTCAGGGCATGAAAGATGGTGACATAGCGGTCCACCGCGATGGCCAGGAAGCTGAAGATAGACCCAATGAACGACATGCAGAGCAAGGAGTCCATCACGTCATCCACCTTGAGCACTGAATCCCCCCGTGAATTGAGGTGGCCTGTGTTGGTGAAGACTAGCATGATATTTTCCCATGTCTTGGATAGGCTGGAGATGGTGTTGAAGAGAGCCAGACTGCAGATGAAGCAGTACATGGGGGAGTGAAGGTTCTTATTCCGTATGACGGCCACCACCACCAGCAGATTTTCTCCCAGGCTCACCATAGCGATGGTGAAGAAGATTTCATTAGGGATCTGGACTTCCCTGCAATCGGTTTCATTTGCATAGACTCCAGTGATGTTCTCCATGCTGGAACAGACAGAGAGGCAAGGAGAGTGATAGTACATGCTTTACCTTCAGCTGATACTCCACCAACATGCTCACATCTCGTCTAGGTCCTTCAAGGTGGTCACCATGACAAGTAGTGAAATTGATGAATATTCAGACATTGGATAACAGGCTCTTTTTTTTCCGTATGTTTTGTTCCTCTTGTTGTGTTTGTTCTAAGATTATATCCCACCTTCCTGGAAGTACATTCAAGTTGTTTGCTTCATTCGCTAAGGAAATTTTTAGTTTCTGTTCCTGTCAGTTTTAACAATAAAAGGAGAGATTCTACAGCAAAGTCAGAGCATGGTGGACTATATATCCATCCATCTTCCAACCTGCTTATCCTACTGGGTCGCGGGGGGTCCGGAGCTTATCCAAGAAGCAATGGGCAAAAGGCGGGGAACAACCCTATAACCCAGGCGGAGACTTGAACCCGGGTCCCAGAGGTGTAAGGCAACAGTGCTAACCACTGCACCACCATGTCACCCCCATTGACTATATATATTAAAAAAAAGAAACGCATCATACTGATCGGTTACCAGAGCGTTCCACATATCTTATCTACCACCAGAGATTTAGAATCAGTGTTTCCATTAAGAGAAGCTTTTGAGCATATGAGCCAAACACCTAGCATCATTTAAGTGTTATGATAAAGGGATCTTCTGGTAAACTGTCCCAATTTGACCTCTCTGTACCGGCTGAGGCCCTTACTGTCATCTTGTCATTCCTATGCAGTTTGGTAAGGAGTCAGGATAATGGGTAGAGTACCATGCAGTCAGTGACAAACACGCGACCTGAATTGTTTTCATTTACTAGCTGTATAAATGAGGAAAGCTACGTAATTATGCTTGATAAACACAGAGAGAATGGAAATGGTTGTTTTTACAACACATTTTTGCAAATATTGTGTGAAGCAGGGGCTGATGCAGGTTATTATCAGTAGTAACTTTTCCCTCTTATACATGAACTGGAAAGTCTCAGCTGGGATTGGAGCTTAACTATTCATTGGTTAAGTATAAAGCATCCAGGAATTCTAAATGCGGCAAATGCGTTATGTTTTACAATGTGCTGTTTATAACATTGAAAGACTTGTGTACCCTGATAACAGGCTGACATTTCACCCAGAAATGAGACAATGATCCCACTCGTTCGATGGTCTAAAAATATTTCTCATATCACCTTCAAAATCGACTCTGAGAAGGCTTTGTAAGTATTAGATCACATTTCCAATTATTTCAGGATACTTTCATTTTGTGTTCAGGAGGCTTTGAGATTCCATAGAGCCATGTCTTCGTTCCATTCGCCCTGTCAAGCTTTGTTTGCTGAACCGAGATATCCAGAGTACCTGGGAAATTCACCTCACTGATTTACATGTGGTGGGTAGATAAAACAGCAAGCAGATGCATGCATAGCTCCAGACAATCAACAAAAACATTTCCTGTTCTCTAGTGTTGGCTCCTGTAACTGTAAGTTACTTTGTGTAACTTTATGGGATTTTATGCAAATCGAGAATTAAATACTTGAATTTGGAATGAAAACACCACCTGATTGTTGTATTATGTAAATGTGTCATGGCACACGGAGCGGGGAAGCGCGAGCAAGAGCCAGGGAGTCGGGGGAACACAGGATTTAATACAGGTAAAGCACTCAGGAACACAGAACTACAACACAACGTTACAACGTTAATGACCGGACTGGGGAAACATACTTTAACGCAGACTTAAATACACCGGACTAATGACAGCTGATCACACGGGGATTCCACACGAGGTTAATGAGGGGGCATGGCACACAGGAGGATTGGACGAGCAGGGCCTGACAATATGGCTATATAATTATGACTGGATGAAATAAGTTCTAGAAAATTAAGCTTTTATAAGATTCTAATGGCAAATTTATATGACTTTAAAACACACACACACACACAGTCAGGAAAACATATCTTTATGGGGACCGCTCATTTATTTCTATAGGAAAAATGTTAACGCTAACTAAGACAACCTTAACCCCCACCCAGCCCTATCCATAACCATAAGTAACCAAGCAAAATACAAGTGTTTTTGCATTTTTAGGTTTTTCATTGCCGTCAAAGATTTTTATTAAATTGAGTTTTCCCTTATGGGGACCAGGAAACTGGGGAGACTTTACAGGACTTCAGTGCTTACTCTGTATACAACCACAGTATCAAACAAACACATTCTTCCTACAGTATATGCACTGAATACAGATGCAAGGAATTGGAACTTGACTTTCACACACGAATGCAGTGCTTTGATGAAGGCTGGCAAGTGGAAATGACAATACTGACTTTCGAAGCGATACTTTAATACTGCTTGCGGTATTGTGTAAGATGTATGGTTTATGTTTCCCGCATTCTTATGGTCTCATGCAGCAGAGAATGGAACGCATTGCAAAAGCCACAGACAATGCAAACCCTTTCAGCAATTATATTAATACCAACTTTCATTTCTCAGTGCCATTCAGTGCCAACGTTCTTCCCAAAATATTTTGTCCTCTGATAAATCACAGTAATCTAAAATATATTCATCTTCACCTATCAGGCCAGTGAAGCCATACTGTATAAGCATATCGTAGTGCCCGAGCATTCTGGGTAATTGTAAATACCCCCTTGTTTGTGTGACTGTTAATACTTGCTGCATTCCCTATTGTTGCATGTATGTAACATAACTATACAAACTGTAAATAAAAGGTTCCCATTAACTTGATTCGCTTCCTACTGGACCGGGATTCAGATAGTCTACATATTTTGAGCGTTTCAATAGGACAGAAGAGTTTTTTGGTATAAAAAATAAATCTAAAACAAATCTTAAAACCAGTAGATGTTTAATATGACCAAACAGCTTAGGTATAGAAGATGATTTGGTTAGATAAACCTAATCACAAAAAAAGAATTTTGTGTTTCTTTAAGTGTCCATAGTTCCAATATATGCCTCATACAGAATATGGTCATTTTTACTAAGCATGGCACTGCATAAACAGATTAAAAAAAAAAGTAAAGGAAAAAAAACACTTACCTTGATGCCTTATGTACTTGAATAAAGCAGAAGGTGATGATGCACCCAGAAGAAGCTTATGCTTTCAGCTGTCTTTTTCCTGATGATCATGATGGAAACAGCAAACACCATCAAGTGAAGAGACGTGGGAGGACAGACAAGTGTCACCGTTATCAAGCCCTTGGACGTCTGCTCTGCCAAGGCTGCCGGGCTATTTTCTGCTCCGCGGGCTTGTTTTTCAGACCCCTGTAAAGCTGACGCCATTCCTCCCTTGACCATGTCAGAATTCCCACGTCAGAATTGACAGAGGGACCGTAGAAATGTGATTTTGACGAGGGCGTCATTGAATCTGCCATGCAGCAGTGAAAATATGTTAAACGGCGCATCTGCCAACGAGGTCACTGCAGGTGGAATAACACTTGTGCAGCATATCCTAATATGAACAACTTTTATTTCTGAAACATGTAAAATTATATTTTTGTATTCTGGTGAAGTTTACTGGGTGTAGGAAGGCAGACACAAACTGAGAATTTAATTTAAAGAATGTGAACAATAAGAGTTTGCTTCATTTGGAACTGTATGCTTTATTTGAGGAGGTAAATTGTGTTATAACATTAATGCAGTAGACACTGCAGTGGACACTTTTCTTCTATAGAATTACAGTGCTACATCATGCGGGGATTAAACTCACTATTCTGCTTTGACTTACTGTTCTAACTGATAGAAAATGAACAAACTTATGAAAAGAGCAATAACCCCTGTACATATATATGAAAAACAGGCAAAATAGTTTTCATTATAGATAAGAAGCGTGATGCCAAGATGCACTGTTTTTATGGCAACCTTTCAAGTAATTTACTTCTTGCATTAGATAAGAATCACTAAATTAAATGTGCAGAAATTGCAGTCAGTTTTGATTTTGAGCTACAAATGAAATAATTGCAGTGAATAAAACCACCCATTGCCAACAATATTATTACTAAGCATCTGAAACAGACCGTATCCACATCTCTGACTTCACAATGAACTTCTGAAGTGTTTGACAGCAAAATCTAATTAAGGAACCCGACTCATACAGAGTCACTAAAAAGGCAGCCAGCTGTTCTGGGACCAAAGCAAACCTGGCAGGAAATTGCTGGTTTCCCCTTTAGATGGACGCTGACTCATTTTGGCCTGCGGACACACTCCAGCAGAGCGTAAGATGGGGGGAGGCCGTGAGTGTTTCGGGAGCAAGATTGGGGGCTTATGATTTTGTTGATCAGCCTGATAACGTAATGGATTTAAGGTAGCCTAGTTTAAGTGAACTTCATCTTCCTTCACTTATATCTGTCAAGGACTACGTTAAATCTGAGAAGTTATCCGGCTAAATAAGAGATCTGGCTTTGTGATACAGGCCCCAGGTCGGGCTCTTCTGTAAAATGGAGTTTTGCTTTGTGTGGATAAAAAACAGAGACCAGGAGCAGCGGTACAGAAGTTTGGGGTTTCAGTTTTGCTCATTTTTAAGGCAAGGGGGTACAACAGGGGCTGTGTGTGGCTTAGCAGGTTAGAACACTGTGCCAGTGATTAAAAAGCCTCTGGTTCAAATCCCAGGTTTGGTAGAGTAACTTCACGGTTGAGCCCTGAGCAAAGCTCTTAGCGCACCCCCGGCCCCCATTTGCTCCAGGGACTGTCTGACTCTGCTTTCCTAATCATTCATCTCTTTAAACCAGGGGTGTCAAACTGCAGTCCTGGGGGGCCGGAGCCCTGTGTAGCTTTGGTCTTTCCCTGCTCCATCACAAATGATTCAGCTCAAGAGCTGTGTGGTAATTAGCACAAGGACCTGGATCAGGTGCGTTAAATGAGGGGAAACCCAAAAACGTGCAGGGCTCCGGCCCCCCAGCACTGGAGTTCGACGCCCCTGCTTTAGATAAAGGAGTCTGTACAATGACTATTGCCATATATTATTTAGTTTGTCTACCTGTTCCATACTGAGGTTGGCAATACACTTCTGTCTGCCATCTCCTGTGTCCCCTGTGTCACCAATCTCTTCGCTGTGACAGTGGAAGCTGACATTCCTGTCAAAGTTTCTGGTAGTTTCTGTCACCGTAGAATGTAAACTCAATAAAAAAGTAAACTTAAATGAGATCCAGAGCAGCTGTACCTGCTGGAAATGTGACACTGGCTGAGATGGGAACTTTACTGGTACCTGAAGTTACCTGATCATTAAAGTTCAGGACTCAGGTCTTTATTGTCGTTGTTCATGCTGGTACAACGAGACTGGCAGGTCAACTCAAGACTCAAATCAATTGAATCCAAATGCATTTTTATACAGCATCCTGCAGAAGATAATTGCCCCAGAGCCCCTTACATATATGTATATAAACGGATGGTGTACTGAGCATGCAAAAAAGGTCAAAGATTGTGGAACAGGGGAGCAAAGAAAATAAAGTTGGGGGGATGGGGGTTGCACTCACTTCTGCTGAACATGCCAACCACACTTGTTCAGTCAGATGTCCGAGTGTCAGCAGGAACGTTAGGTGATGTTCAGCATGTCCGGTGGGTCCTGCCCCAGCTGTCCATCAGCCTTCCGGCCAAAGACCTGCTGTCATGACAAGGTCGCAGCCTGCTGCTGTGGAGACTCAGGTCTCTCTCAGGCTATGCTTTCACAGCGAGGGTCCACTAGGATGTCAGTGGAACTTACACGCGGGCTTTTGGAGCACGGCCAAGGCTGTGCTGATGGAGATCCAGTCTGCCTTATCTACCATCGCTGACCTTGTGAGGGCGGTGCTGTTTCTACCCATGGTTATAACAACATATGGCAGTTCTTAAAATTTTACACCATCAAAGAACCTGTTTCACTTCACTCTCTCGGGAGATCCCTAGCTTTCATTCTGTGTGCAAGCGCAAAAATGTATTCTGTTATATATTTACAGTGTATATATATATATATATATATACCACACACATATACATATACACACACACACACATATATATATAATTTAGCAGTACAAACCCAAACTGTTAGAAACTACTGTTTACATACCATATCATTTTATCTTGTAGTTCACATCCTACCTCTACTTGTTAACTTTTAAATCTATCCATCCTTCAAGCACTTGTCCTAGACAGGGGTGCAGGGGATCTTGGCGCCTAGTCGACCCGGACTGGGGGCCGGTCCATTGCAGGGCAACTACACTGCAGCCAGTGTCGAAACGCCACTCACAGTGACTGCCTGACTTTGGGATGCTGTGGGATGGCAGTGAAATAGCAGGTTGAAACCTCACATGCAACACAGGCTGGATTTAAACCCTCCAGGGTGGAGATGCGAGGCAACAAAACTACTCTTTGAAGAATCATGCAGTTCTTTTAAATAATTGTTTTTTTTTCTTAAGGTTCAATCACTTGAAAATTTTAACATAAAGCATAAGTCCCTCTAGGGGTCTTAGTTCAGTATGATATAATTGGTCTGAGTAGAAGGAATTATAACTGGACAGAAATATTGAATTAAAACCTTCAATCAGAGATTATGCCCAGTCCTGTTACTTACTGTTACTAGGCCACAGAGATCCTGCGGTAAATAGCCGTGAAAGGCCAGCAACTTCAAATTCAAAGCATTTTCTGTGTAGGTGGAACCGTGAGCCTAGAGTGAATGAGTGAGTAAGTGGGATTTAAAAACTTAAGGGACAACAGGGATGAATGTAGGTGGAGAGCAGAATGACAGCAGTACTTATTTAGCTGAAATATAGCAGAATTTCCCTATTTTACATTTTTTATTTCATTCCATGGTTGGGGTGATTTATGGATGTTGGACACATATATATTTTTATAATTAAACATTGTCTATGTTCCAGGTGTGTTTGTTTCTTAAATAATGTCTTAAATAAAATCTCTGTAGCACAAATCAGTAGGTTTGTTGCATTATGTTTTCAGTTTAACAGTGACTCTGTATTAACGCGTTTACGGTCGTTCTCAACCTTCGCCAACCTACGGTTGGATTCGCAACCTTCGACAAAACAATGTTTTTCCAAAGATCAGCTTATTATTACATGTATTTTCCAAAAATTCACTAAACCCTGAAAGTATTTCTTTTTCACGCTTGGAGTGTTTCAAGCAGAAATTATTTGCATCAAGGCTGAAGATCAGTCAAGACTTCAGTCTGCAGAATGTTTATCCAACCATCCAACCATCCATCCATCGCATCCATCTTTCCACTGCTTATACTGGTTACCTGGCCTGGAGTTTATCCCAGGCAGCTTATAGGACAAGGCTGGGACATTCCAATGGGTCGATTGGCCAAAACGACCTGAAGCATTGTTCTACTACCATTTTTGGATGCAAACCATGTTATGATGTTGTGCAATACACTGCACTTATGTGAGGTACACATGGACTTTTTGCAGAATATATTTTATATTAGAAGGTATTGGCCAGTGCACATATTCATTTCCTGGTCATGCTTGATTATTACATGGTTTTCTGAAATGAAAAATAGCCCGTCAATGGAAAAAACTAACAATAGAGCTTTCAGTCCAGCAAAACACCCTTTCAGACAACAGGCTGGAAGCAGTCGAATAGTTACATGCCTGGTGTAACACTGAAATGATTTCAGTACGCCATCAAGTATTGGGAAAGGGTAGAAAAATATATATCATAAATAAATATAGTATTTTCTGTCTACTCAAGGAAAAATAGTCTCTCAAATAGGTTTATTTTTAAAGAAAAGGCAGAAGACATGTGAATGGGCATGTCTCTCCTGTTTGTGATTTTCACAATTTTTATGTAATTGAATGAATGAATGGTCTTTGTTTAATATCTATTCTTTGCATCTTAGTTTCTTCTCAGCATACATATGGAAAATGAACGTCAGAAGATGCTTTGCTCAGTGGAGAGTACAATGCAATTTGAGTGTTCTGTGATTTTCTTTTACAAAATGTTCATAGTAATACAACTGAATGGACACAGGGGCAGAATTTGGGTGCGGGGGGGGGGAGGTGGTGGGTGGAGGGGTGACCAACCCTGGGTCTGCACACCAGGGGGCCTCCAGCTGATCTCAAATTTCTTTTCATAATAAAATCCTTAGATTGAATGTCCACTCCAAACCCGTCATGACTTGTACTCTGGATACAGGTTAAAACATTGCATTAGCCTTTATAAAATAAGATCTGTGATAGAAGTTGTACCTGGGCCACCCATCCATCATGCCAGGTGTTCTGCCTCCTGAACCCTGAGACCAATCACCCCCAACACTGCTGGGAATGGGGAATCTGGGGGGTTTGGGTGGGGGGCCTGGCCAGGATGAGGTGTAGTGGCCCGGAAAATCCCACACCAGGAACTTAATAGGGGCAAGAACAAAATCCAAGACATTAAACCCCCAGAGACATGACTCCAGCTGCGGAAAGAGGGCTGCCTTGGATCATGAACCCACCCCAACACAGAAACCAGCCAATCAGAAGCCCAAGGACAAATGCTGGTCAACAGGGACCACAAACCTCAGGGGCTACTCACACCACGCCTTAATTAGCATATTATTGATGTTCCGTTGTTTTTTTTAAATTCCCTCTCATTTCTCTTTTGGCTCCAAAAAATAGCTCAAATGACACAATTAGCCCCCCCGAGAAGTTAGTCCACCCCTGAATGTACATTATGCAGCATGCATGTAACAGGTGGTCAAACTTTTGGTTGTTAGATGGTTATAAGTATTGGGATTACTCCATATCTGTGCCTGTTGCACATGGATGGATGGATGAATGGATGTTCTTTAAGTACATATTAAGGGAGATTATTGTAGAACTACCTAGTGACACAGGAGGATGCATTAAAGGTAGTGTAATAGGGGAGGCGAAGTCCAGGCAGTAGCTGTGACTTGTGCACTACCTGATTGCACCAATGGAAAGTGGCGACCGCCCGGTAACCGAACCCCCCTTCGGTGCCAAAGCCCACCCATCCCCTCCCTGTGGACTATACTACCATCTGCTGGTCAGCACAGAAACGTTCATTTTGGTGTCAGAGCGGCAACCCAACGGACTCTTTACGGTTGGGTGCATTACCTTAACTGTAACTGTATCTAGTTTAACTCCAATTTCTACTTCAGATACAAACCACTGGAAATTAAACCAAACGACCATAGATAGCAACTTAAAGATACTACAAATCCCGAAACTCATAATCCTACTCCTTTTGTAAACTGCTTATATACGATTGGTAACTATATATATTTTTTATAATTAAACATTGTTTGTGTTCCGGGTGTATTTGTTTCTTAAATAATGTGCGTTCTTATTGAATGCTTAAACATCTTAGTGCCCCCTCTCTGTACCCATCAAGGTAGGTTCAGAGGTTGAGAATTTCCCCCGTAACTGAATTGAATAGCTTTATTGTCATTGCACCAATTACAATGAGATTCAATATGCAACTCCTCCATATACAATATTCTTGATAGAGACAATTTACATATACATATAGTTAAAATGGTTCATAAAATGGCTCAGATTGTGCAAGGTTACAAGCTTAAAAAAATATTGATATGTGACAACAAACATGCATGTGCTTCTACTGTATAATATTATATCAGGCTGGCCAAAGAATCCGCATTTGCTCCAGCAATCGCCTTCTCCGGATTTACAGGATGTTTGAGCAAAGGAGGCGGGGAGTTTTGGAATGAGGCAGGAAGAAGGGAGAACAAAACCCGAGGAGGAATGTGGGTGAATGAGGCGGTCTGTTCGCTTGGGGGTCACATTACGGCGTAGATACACCGGAGGTAAGCCGAGATGCACACGGGTGCGTTTTCGCAGCTCTCATCGCAGTTTGGCGAAAGCTGGACGGTGTTTTAACAGACCATCGGGCACTTTTTGGCCTTAAAAGGGGGAGTTTACTAACTTTCCTGCCAGGAGTCAACAGGCGACTTGCGGGACTACAGTGCGCCCGAGCCGGCCAAAGTGAAGCACCGAAGAGGCGGGGGATTGTGGACTAAATCTAAATAGTTATTGCTATTTTATTGCGCTTATGTTTGCGGGTAATATCCTCACTCGATACATATTTAACATGCTTTGATTTCAAGCGTGTGCCTAACCATAACTTTGGCGTAAAGGTGACGTTTTTCACCATTCCTGGTGTTTACGGAAAAGGGTCGCCCTGCGGCGCCTCGTTTCCTAAACCACATTCCCTTAAGCCTTTTATCATTAACTGCTGTCCATGTTAATTGTATCTGATTTCATGTTCATTTGAGTTTTGTTCGGATCAGGGGATATAGATCCTAAACTTATATTACCTGTATGTATCTGTGAAAATGATGATTTCCAGTAGCTGAATACAAATACCGTAGGATGAACACGGAAAGGTTAATAGCGATCTACCCATTATTAATGATTATGAATTTTTATATATATATATATATATATATATATAACTTTGCCTAAATCTCGTTTTCAGGCCCTATTTGCGTGTGTAATTCCGTTTTCCATGCTGAAATCAGACTCTGAAATACTTGCGCAAACAGACGCGTTATGCCTGTACGGACAGGCTGTGTTTAACTTTATTATTAGCGTTTCGTCACTTTAACTGCGTGTTTCCGTCTGTTGCTGCGCCGCTAAACCCCGTCGGCCTGCGTCGTTAATACCATCTGTCTTTTCGGCCTTTTTTGCGTTTTAAATAAATTAAATATATATATATTTAAAAAAACCCTGGAAAGATGTATCAGTGTTATGTGGCTATATATATAGGCTAAATAGCCCCCTGAGCTGTCTATCCATCTGCCGATTGCTTATCCTGTTCAGGATGCCAGTTCATCACAGGGGGCATACACGGAGTTTAAATGCGCCAGTTATAACATGTGAGATCAATGGCGGGGCCTGAAATCATGGCCTGGGTGGGAGGGATGAAGATCAGATGGGCCAGTCCCATAACGATTCACATGGCGACAAAATCGCACTACAGACTCGGCCGCGTATTTTTAAATCGGTTTTTACTAAAACCAAATGAACAACAGCACTTTTCCTCCGTTTGACCTGACCACGCACACACGTACCTGTCAGACAAAATCGTTTTATTGTACTGTCGCTTGATGTGGGCCTGAGTCCCATCTGGGGGCGCCCGGGACCCCCCAGTGTCCCCCCGAGCTGCCGCGGCAGTGTGAGCAGAGACAAGTGTCTGACCCCAAGCCCGCAGCTGTGATGCTTCCTCGCTAATCGCTGAGCCACCATGCTGCCCCTAATTAAGATAATTAAATAAGGGCGCAGAAGAGCGCAAGGAAATGTAATAACAAAAATATCAGCATATAATCCGTGAGATGAAGCTGTCGCTTTTTATCCTGTCCTGATTTCTTTATGGAATAACTAGCAATAACATTTTATTATAACTAAAACGTTAGTGCACCTTGTGAAGAATTATATTGATTTAAGCTCCATACCTCATTTTGTCTTGGTAATGAGTTTAATTTTAATAGTGCCAAGTTCATTAACTGGTCTGTTCGTTGTAGGCCATTTGACTGTCCTACCATCAGAACTCCACCTGAGACCTGATCTACAACCATTTGGGTTCATGTACTCAACTGCCACAGTTTATATTTATTTGTTTAACATTCATAAAATCAGTGTTATATAATAATGAGTATTTCACCCTCTTCCAGGTCGCAAAGACGTGCCTGAGAGAGGAGGGGAAGGGCCAGTCTGATTCCTGGGGGGGTGGGGGGCTACGGTCAGCTTCGGCAGGGCAGAAATGGCCGCGTATCCCACGGAATGTGAGTGAGTCGCCTGGCCAAGTGCCCCGCCAGGATCGCGCTTGCCCACGATTCCCCCCTGCCCTTCTCCTCTGGCTGCGGGGACGATGGGACCCCACCCAGCTCCGCTGTCCCTGCTTCTGGGGCTCCTGGTCCCCGTCCATGTTCTTGCTCACAGCTACTTCACGTGTGAGCCAATCAGGGTGCCCCGCTGCCTGGACATGGCCTACAACATGACCTTCTTCCCCAACATGATGGAGCACTACGACCAGGACAGCGCCGCCATCAGGATGGAGGTCAGTTCTTCAACCTGACGAATTTGCGCATCTGACTTGCCTGCTGTTAAGACCTGACAGTCAAGAAAATATTAATCCCAGAGTGAGAGAGAGAGCCTGCTGTAAACTTTACTCTTGGCAGCTAAAATCCACACTGGTCTTAGAATAGATTAATTAGAGCAATACATATTCTTCTTGCAACCAACAGCAGCAAGAAACTGAGCTGGTAAGAGAAAACTAGCGGTAATGCAAGCATAAGGTTCAATAAGATCTTGAGATGTTTGCTTCTCCTTATAAGGGGCTTCCTGTGTGATTCTCATGTTCCAAAGCCTGAGATGTGATTTGGTGTCTGCTGCAGACACTGCCTGCTTGCTGGCTGTACGGCTCCCAGCACAGGAGCTCAAAGTCCACAAAGGAAAATTAACCCAAGAAAACTGCCTCCTGGGACACATTTCTTTTCCATATTTGTTGCACGTTTCCCATTACAACAACTAATGCCCCCACCCCCCCAGCCTTGTGCTAAATAAAATGCTGCATTAATCTGTCATCTTTTACACCAGGGGGGTTATTACTCTGTCTCAACATTTATCTCATAAACAGGCACCTGGGATTGATTAACCAGCTAAAGTAATACTTAAGTTTCATGCCCACTGTTTAGGAGAGCTAGAGTTTTCTGATATGGAAGCACTGAAGAACTTTGCAGCATCTAATGGCGGCTGTACAGTTTATATGTTCCGTTCGTTTTGTAGTGGTACACTAGTAACCCTCTCCCCAGCACCTCTGCCTCTCATTGGTCTTTGTGGTCGTTTATCATGTGACGTTCCAGTGCAGAGTCAATTTTCAAGCAGTAAATTCTTTGCGGCTTACATCAGTCTGAAGGTGGGAGTGCCTTTGTATCGTTTTTGGGTGGTTTACATGGAGGTCGTCTGGTGTCTGATCTGTAGGGCTTCACCTTTCAGAGTTGCCCGGTCCTTTTTCGTGTTGTTATTGTGCTGGGCCTTTGATTCGTGGGGTGGGGGGGAAGGGGACACACCCAGCTGCACACAAAGGCTTCCCAGCATTCTTGGTGACGAGGCCCCACTAGGGCTGCCTTTAATCAGCACTGCGCCGTTTGGTCGTTATTGCCAGCGGGTTCCATCGCTCAGCAACAAGTGTGAACAGCTTTAAAAAAAAAAAAAGTGAGTCTTGAGGCTCGTGGGGGAGGCCGTCCTCATCCTGTGCTGGAGACATTCCTGTCGCTGTCGTGGTTACGCTTGGCTTTTGACCCTTAGCAACAGATTTCAGATAGAATTGCGGGTGTTGTTTGATATTTCGGGTAAATGGACAGTTATGAATGGAACGTTAATGGAGTCCGTGAACTGGCTTTGTATGCTTGCGTTTTACATGCTTGGGAACAATGCTGAGCTGTTGACTGTTAAGATCAGCTTCATCAGTTTCTTTTGTTTGTCACAGAAGGTTCTGGAATATAGTAGGAACGGCACAGGTACAGCAGACAGTAACATAAGCACTTGAATCGATTTAATGCTTTCGTGTTTTTGTTGTTGAAAATCTTGAAATGTAATTGTATCAAAGAGTCTCCCTGAGCAAGCCTCTTCTGGGCACCAGAGCCACTGGAAATGCAGCTGGGGGACCGAGGGGGATACTGGTCATTCTACTAGAATAAAGGAAGAGGGACAGACTCGCGTGGGATTGTAGCAAGATGGCGGCGCGCACGGATGCAGCGGCCCGGAGCTCCCCGTGTCGCACGCGAAACCCGGCTGAGGTTTACCTCACATTCATCACACTTCTGAACTCTCAGCACTGATCTCGAACATTCTAAAGCAACACCCCACATGTGCAATTTCCATATTTATCTGCATTTAGTCCACTTGAAAACTCTACCTCTGCGAACTAACTTCTCGTACATATATATATACTCTCCCATCTATTTATGCCTCAATCTATTTAATTGTAAATATACTGTGCATCTGCTGGCGTGTTCCAAACTAAATCTCATTGTACTTACAATGACAATAAAGCATCTATCTGTCTATCTGATGGGGTCCTGCTTCTCCAGGCAGGTGGAGAAATGCTGTCCGTCCTTGTGCCTTTTCACTTTTTTAAATGTACTTCTAATTAAACTTGGAGAAGCTGACTATCCTTTCAAAGACTGTGGTTAGGAGCAAATGTCGTAAGATGTTGGGAGAAACTTCTATAACAAGCACGATTTTTGTAAATGCTACGTTACCATGGTAACAGACAAGTCCTCTGCACAAAAGGTTGGTTTTTGAAACTGCCAGGTGTCATATTGAACCCCCCTAGGTATTTCGTGTAAGGGTGTACTGTAGCCTTACAGCCCCAAGGTTGGGAATTTGGGTCCAGGGCCTGGTCTGTGTGTGTCTGCGTGTGTGTGTCTGCGTGTGTGTGTCTGCGTGTGTGTGTGCGCGACCGTGTCTGCGTGTGTCTCTGCGCCTGTGTGTCTGCGTGTGTCTCTGCGCCTGTGTGTCTGCGTGTGTTTTTTGTAATTATTACTTTGTGGGGATCAGATTTCCACTGGGTGTAGGGTTAGGGTTGTAGGGCTGTCATAATCATCAATTATGTCTATAATTGAGAAATCCACTGATTTAATCTGAGTTCATCGAATTATCATATATAATTTGCATTGCAATTGGTGTATACTCAGTCACACATTCTGAAAATGTAGGTACTCCAACTCACTTAAGTAGCATGTTTTTGGATAGTGGAAGGAAACTGGAGGATCCACCAGAAATGCACGTAAACACGGGGTGAGCATGCAAACTGCAAGCCACTGCGCTGCCCCCTGCACCACTGTTCCGACTTGGCAGGCTTGAACGATGTGTGACGTTAATATCGACAAGGCATTTCTTGGGCGTGCAGTTGTCACTTGTCAAGATTCGTGATAGTCTGCTGCCTTTTGCGCTAAAACATTTTTACTCGGTCGTAGGAAACCAAACTTGGCAAACTTTGCGATTTTTAATGACGGTTCCTTTTCAGAATTATCTAGTACATGTTAAAGTCTAAAGTTTCCGGCCGTTGCTTTTGCGTGAGCTACGTTTAACAGTGTGGTCGGCTCTCTGTTGAAAAATATGCACATTACAATGTATACAAATGGTTGAAGATGAGATAATAGACTCTCATGTGGCTTGTTTTGGAATCATCTAACTGCAGGGTTTTATCACTGAGCACTGAAAGCCTCTTTGTTCTGCATCAGGGAACCTGTACTTGGGTATGGTGGGGTGGGGGTGAGGCATTGGAGTGCAGGGGGGCAACTGGGCGAGCTAAACTGCTGCTAAATGGCCTTCTAATTGCGCTGACTCAAAGCTCATCTGTGACCTGCGTTTCGTTCCCACAAATGTGCCCCTTTCCTGTGGGCGCCTTGAATCTGGTGTTGTGATGTAACGAAACATTCATTCATTCAGTGCTGGGGGGGGGGGGGGGGCGAGAGACCACCGCCGTGGCAGAACAGTGATCAGTATGTGAGCTGGTTTGTCCCATGCGTTCAGCTCTCAGTGGTGCTGGGTTTGTGGGCAGGTGGGGGCGAGGAAAATAAACATGGCATATATGAATAGTTTACTTGTTAACATAGCCCTGCTTTTGAGTTTGGTTTGGGGGGGGGGGCTTTCACAACTAAGGTAAGGACTCCTTAGGGCTTGGGGTTGCTTCACGAAGGTGGAGTAAAATTTCAACTAGATTAATACTGAGCAATACTTTAATGTCACATCTGCAATTTTTATAAATGAATCAGTCCTATACAGTTTGCCAGTGTTCTAGTTCAGAACCTTCTAGAATTCAGCATGGTCTGTATAAGCACGTGATTCGATGCTCTCTAACACAGCATTTGATGAAATAGACAGACCAGGGGGGTCTTCTTCCGCCAAGCAGGATTTCCCAGTTAGCTGGGTTAACTTTAGCTAGAAGTCATGATTGCCCAATAAGCGTTTAGGTAGGGAGCATTCCTAATGGACAATCATAAGGGTTTACGAAAGGAGCATTCCTATTGGACAATCATACGGGTTTAGGTAAGGAGCATTCCTATTGGACAAGCATGACTTCTAGCTTAAGTGAACCCAGCTAACTGAGAGATTCCGCTTCGTGGAACACCCCCTGATCCACATGGATTGTAGGGTTAGCTGTTGGAAGAAGAGTAGGGTGCTCTTACTACAAACATAACTTAAATATCGACAGTGAAATATTAAGTCCGGAAGCAATGGCTAAATTTTGTAAAATGTTTATTTTGTCAGTATTTACTTAATGGTTTTAAATGAATTCTGCAGGTTTGTTTCTCCAAACTGTGTGAATATTCAGACTTAATTTCTGGCATTTCTCCAAGGCTGAATGATTTTTAACTCAAACTACCGACTCCAGCAAGTTCCCCTATAATCTATGTTAATATGTCAGTAAGTTGAGCAGTAAGGTTACTGCTTTTGCTAGTTGATCAGTTGTTTTTTTCCCCCTTTGTCCTCTTTGAAACGTCCTCTGCCGTCTCCGATGCCTCCGTAACTCCACGATTGTCCCTGTCTGTTTCTAAGGGGCCTTGCAGTAATTTCCTGATTGCTCCCCTTCTTCCCACACCCCCTCCGGTCCTGGTCTGCCCTTCCGGTTCTTCCGCTCATGCAGTCTGTGAAAGGAACCTTTTGTTGGAGATCGCTGCGTGTTCCTGGCCCGAGAAGGCTTTGGTTTTTCAACCAAGTCATGTGACAGGAAATGAATTTGGGTATATTTTTGGAGGCCGTGTGACCTGGTATCTGACCTGTGTTGCTTTGTTGTCAGGGAGAATAAAAAACTGCGGGCTTTCCATACATAATATGTCTTGGACAGAGGTGTCAGCTAATTAAAACGATAATAATGTGCTGTGGTTACTTCTTTGACAGCACGAGTCTCAGCAAACAGATTAAATCTGACTGCTGCGACTTTCTCTCCCTGTTTTGCAGCCATTCATGCCCCTGGTTAACCTCCAGTGCTCCCCGGACGTGCACAACTTCCTCTGTCAGGCCTTTGTTCCGGCCTGCATTGAGCCCAACAAAGTGATGGTGCCCTGCCGTGCGCTATGCAAGACGGTGCACGCCGACTGCCACAAGGACATGGCCATGTTTGACCTCGCCTGGCCCCCAGAACTACAGTGTGACAGGTAGGCGTGGCCATAACCTGTGGGCGGGGTCTCGTACCTCCATGCCAGTGTGTGCTCGGGCATCCTGAAGATATCACTTCTCACAAATGAACACTATTGCTGGTTGGCTAATGTGAGCTCTTGCAGCAAATTATCGCTCATTGGTAACAGACGCTGTTGGCTGCCGCCATGTTTGTTGTGCAGAATGCCGGAATTAATTTGTTGGAATCGTTGTATTCTGCAGGCTAGATGAGTGCAGTACTTCTGATGATTCAGGCACTTTCCCTGCAAAGCATGCAACCACACCAAAGACCTCTGCATCAGTGAGAAGGGATCTGGGATTCTGGTGCCCATTGCCTCTCAAAACTCTGCCGGGGCTCGGCTCCTCCTTCCTTGGGGCAAAGGACTGTGCCCCCCCTTGCGCCAACATGTACCTCAAGCCGAACGAGGTCGAATTCGCCAAGAACTTCATTGGCGTGTTGTCCGTCGTCTGTCTATGTGCCACGCTCTTCACCTTCCTCACCTTCCTCATAGATGTCAAGCGCTTCCGCTACCCGGAGCGCCCCATCATATTCTACGCCGTCTGTTATAGCTTTGTGTCGCTCATCTACTTCGTCGGCTTTCTGCTGGGCAACAACATGGCCTGCAATCGGGCGACCCTCCCCGGCGCCGTGGAGACCGTGGTGCTCGGCTCGCAGAACAAGGGCTGCACGTTGCTCTTCATGCTGCTCTACTTCTTCTCCACCGCCGGCACCGTCTGGTGGGTCATCCTCACGATCACCTGGTTCTTGGCGGCGGGGCCCAAGTGGAGCTGTGAGGCCATCGAGAAGAAGGCCGTGTGGTTCCACTCGACGGCCTGGGGGGTGCCTGGGGCGCTGACTGTCATGCTGTTGGCGCTGAACAAGGTGGAGGGCGACGGCATCAGCGGCGTGTGCTTCGTGGGCCTCTACGACCTGCACGCTCTGCGCTACTTTGTTCTGGCTCCGCTCTGCGTGGCCGTGGCCGTGGGTCTGTCTTTCCTCCTGGCTGGCATCGTCTCTCTCAACAACGTGCGGCAGGTCATCCAGCACGACGAGCGCAACCAGGGAAAGCTGAAGAAGTTCATGATCCGCATCGGCGTGTTCAGCGGCCTGTACCTGCTGCCGCTGGTTGCCCTGCTGGGGTGTTATGTCTACGAGCAAGCCCACCGTGGGACGTGGGAGAACACCTGGATCAATGACCGCTGCCAGGAGTACAGCATCCCTTGCTCCTATAAGGTAAGGCTCCTTACCGAGGAGGCCTAATTGCGATTATACATCTTGAAGGACCTTGATCTTCCAAGTAGGGGTTCACTGGTATGATACTGTGATTAAAAAATATGAAATATTTATACTATTACAGCTGTTCTATGTCACGGTTTGTGATGTCACAACACGTTAATTTCCGTTACATTTAATGATCCCAATTCACATTAATTCAGATTTAATTCCTAAAACTGAGACAGTTTGCTGTAATTTTCACAGGGACTTGCCAATTCGTAGGGCATGTGTTGGGCAGTGGTGGCTTGATGGTTAGGGTAGCGCACTTGTAATTGAAAGATTGCAGGTTCGAATCCCCCACCAGCAAGTCACCACTGAGGTACCCTGAGCAAGGTACCGTCCCCAAGCACTGCTCCCCGGGCGCTGAATTAGCTGCCCCCTGCTATGTCACGAAAGTCACATATGGGTCAAATGCAGAGGTCACATTTCGTTGTTGCGCACTGTGTGCTGTGGTGTGTTGACAATGACCACTGATCACTTATCACTTAATTCTAAATTCTGAATTCTAAAAACAAAAAAAAAAAAAAAAAAAAAAGCATTATAGCTTTGGCAACACAGGCAACACAGGCAACGCATCAAACCTCACGCAGCATCTGAGGTCACATGACGCCACAAAGCGAAACGCGAGTTACCTGCTAAATCAATGCACAGGCTGACAGTCACACAAACCGTGTCATTGGCACGTGGTGACGTCATCTTGTCTTCTACTATGAACCCGCACAAGATGTGTTTCATGCGACTAAACAAGTTAATGTTAATAAATGACATAAACACATATGAAATTTTTATCAATTGATTATTAGGGATGGTTGTGAGGGTTGGGGGTTAAACCGTGATGTATGGACAAACGAAATTCGGCTCCATGGTTTTCGTAGAGTGAATTTTTCATACCAGTGTAGCCTGGCTTCCAAGCTTCCGCGTGGATTTTCTGCATAGTCCAAATAGCTGTATTAACATCATCTTTTCCCTTCAGAAAAAGGAACTGGATCGGCCAAACCTGTCCCTCTTCCTAATCAAGTACCTGATGACGCTGGTGGTTGGAATATCGACTGTGTTTTGGGTCGGCAGCAAGAAGACGTGCTCCGAATGGGCTTTCTTCTTCAACAGGACTCGCAAGAAGGAGTGAGTGCGGTGCCTTCGGGGTGACCTCGTGTTTGTGTTTCACTGCGCAGTGAGCTCCTCGCAGTGAGCTCCACGCCGAGCAGCACTGCGCCCCACATACTTTGCCGTCTTTGTGGGAGCAGGCAGGTCTTCTGCGTCTTTCATGGAAGATAGCAGATGATTAAATTCTCTTATAATATGTTGAGCAGAAGAAGGCTTCAATTTAGTGAGGCTGTCTGTTATATTTATGGCTAAACTTAGATTATCTTTGGAAGCGTTGCAACATTTTTTTTTCTCTCTCTCTCTCTCCCTCCCTCCCTCCCCCCTGCCCTGAACCTCAGTCCCATCAGCGAGAGTCGCAGGGTTCTGCAGGAATCCTGCGATTTCTTCCTGAAGCACAACAGCCGGGTCCAGCACAAGAAGAAGCAGTACAAGCACAGCTCCCACAAGCTTAAGGTCATCTCCAAGTCCATGGGCACCAGCACGGGAGCGGCCACCGCCTTGGGCGATGGCCCGGGCCGAGCCTCCACCTCCGGGGAGGCCCTGGGCACCTCCGAGACCCCTCCCGTGGAGCTGGTGGAGTCTAGAGCCGCGAGCCGAGGGCCCAAGTCTGAGGGGAAAGAGTTGGCTGGGGTGGAGAGGCGCAGCAAAGGCGGCAGCTCCGAGAAGGTCAGCAGCCACTCTGACAGTTTCCAGAGGGCCCCAGATGGAAGGTAACGCCATCATTGTCCTGCTGATGCATGTACAGGGGTTAAGGGACTTATAAGGACCAAATTGGCAGGCACTAAAAGAACGTAATTTTAAACAAGCCAAGACAGACTATCCCGTTCATTCAGGTAGTTATGAGTCTGAATAAGATGCATCTCCAACAGGAGGTTAGATTTGTAAATATCCTGTCTCTTGCTCTTTGAGGACAACGTCATGTGATGTGACTGACGGTAAGCAGCTGACCAGCAGCCAGCTCCTCAACCCCACCCACCATGGCAGCTTGAAAGGCTCCGCCCCAGTTCTGGCCCGCCTGGAATCCAAGGAAACAGCTGCTCCAACTCTTGAGGCTGGAGCTGTCTGCAATGCCCTCACTTAGCCAGAAGGGGGTACTCATCGTGGCTGAAAAGGGACTTGGCACCCAGACCTCTGAAAGGAGACTGCCTTGTGAGCCGGTCTGAGTCATAGGTCATTGGCATTAGTTCTTCACTGCCGCATGTGGTCGTTGTAAAGCTGAAGTATCCTTCGTGTGGTTTTTAAGGAGATCTGTAGCATATCTGCGATGGTAAACTATTATCATGAGGGATACTTAGGAATGAATTAAGAATTGATTTTAAAAACCACTGGAGTGATATTTCGGTGATGTGGCAACACTGGAATCTAGTCTGTACACTGTTTTGGTGGGATGTGAGCGTAGATGTGTAAAAAGCACAATGGTTTCAGACTACTTTGTAATGTCAGATTCATGGGAAACATTATGGCCCCCCTGTGTCATGTCGGAAACCAAATTGACATTATTTTACTTTACATAGCATCTTTTAGGCTTATTCAGAATATTCCAAACAGGGCCATATCTGTTTGTATGGTTTGCATGCTGAATGTTTTCCATGGCTTTTCTCCAAGTCTTTGGATATTAAGCTTTGCTGGTATAAATGTACATTACAATATGTACCTGTGGTTATATTTTATCCAGACATATGTGTAGTTGTCTTCAGTATTATTGTGTATGATATTATATTTAAGTGTAACGTCGGTGTCTTTGTGCAATTTTCATTTTAAATCATACTTAGTATCATACTTCGTATGTACAAGGACACCCAAGAAACAAAATTTTACATCAATATTAATGTATATTTGATTTTCTTCACACCACAACACAATCCTGTGTTTTTATAGTAATACTTTAAAATTTTGACCCCTATCTGACGTTCCAGATGCATAATGGAAAAAACATTAAAAATGATTAAGTTCCAAAATTCTGAAGCACTTCTGCTTGTGGCTAACGTGGTATCCATTATGTCTTGAGAAATGGGGTCTTATCTCCTACTTTTAAAAATACTTTGTGTTTAATTATGCCTCTTTATGGCCACAAATACTTGTTGATATTCCCCTACCTGTATGTCTAGCTCTACCATTGTGGCATTAAGCTACATTAAGGCGGAAGAATGATTATCATCATATCTAAAAGGAAGCCGTGATTAAAATGTAATTACCAGAGCATAGACGGGTGTGAGGTATCCGGAACGTGCTTTGGGGCAGTCAGAGGGTTTCTGGTTTCATCTGATTTACATTTGATGTTATGTTTGTTGTTGAACGTTCATACAGTAGTATTCTACAACAAAGGTTTTTTTTATCTAGTGTTTTCCTGTGGTAAACTTTTTTTTTGGTGATTTGCATTTATGTTTTTGACTTTTCACTTGAGATGTTTTGCTTTGAAATGCTTCTTTGTTAGGGCAGGTGGAGACTCTGTGGGGGAAAATAAGCTGGAGAATGTGCCATTTTATCCAAAAGGGAATTAAAATCACAGCAGAAGGAGAATTTAATGAAAGCTGTAGGGTTTCTAGATCTGTATCTATAGAATGCATGCCGCAACAGAACATATACAAAGAAAAAACAGGCTTGGCGTGTAGCTTTTATTGTCTGACGACAAATTGATTGTGTTGGTTTCTCGAGTGAACAGAAAGCACCAAAAATGTCACTTTTATAGAATTTAAGCAATTTTTGTTCCTGACCATCTGTGAATTAATGGATGCTGATGGGTGTTTTCAAAACCCACATGTTGTCTGCAGATAAATGTATCCTAGTGATTTCCTGCACCTTCACCTGTTTCTGTGTGGTGCTCACAGAAGGCTGATGGAGGGAATGATTGATCACAGATGGTTGGCAGTGTTTCCATTTGGAGGGAATATTGCCTTGCGATTAACCAAGGGCTTATTACTGATCTTTGGGCTGATCTTGGGCCTCTCCAAATACTATTGGGTTGGTTTTAATGGTAATTCAAAAAAAACATGCAAACGGAAATCGCCCTTTAAAACTCTCTATTACTTTCTTTTCATTCTGAATTTTGAATAAGTCCTTAAGAGCTTCTCATGTATTGTTTTTCTTTGATCAGCATTTCAACTGTTACTTATTTGAATAATAGCCTGTACCTCGAATAAACACCTTTGAAATTAACCTTGTTTCCAGTACGTTGCTTATTGATGTCACTAATCTGAAGTCATTGAAGCATATTTTTCAATACCTCTGTGCTTTAACATTATTTGCTTGGTTTTTGTCTTAAGAGACTTGCATTACCTGCTTATGCAGCTGAACATGTTATTGGAGCACATGCTGAGCAGCAAAATGCCTCTGACTTGAATTGACGGCCTTCTGAGCCCTTGATCTGTACCGCTTCTGTGAAAAAGAAACTCTATGGAAAATTATGTGCATTTGGCCAATATAAGACAGACCTGAGATTTCAGCTGCTTGGTATTTTTTTTTAATGACTTTCATTGTTTTTGTTTTATGAACACCCGAGATGCAAAAGCTTGCTTTCTGCTCAGCTCAGTGCCCCTTAGACAGTGATTGATATGAACAGCGTAGACTGATTCATTTAAAAGCACAGAACTGACAGATTCTTTTTGATCCTGTTATGTGTGAGAACCCAGGCCAGGTAGAAGTTTGAAGAGAGGACTTCTTTATAATCTTATATGTACAGTTCCTATCGAAGAAACCGACCCCACATGCATTGCTGATGGGTTAATTGGCATGTATGTATATTCAAATGGTGTAGGATGTAGGATATGAATCAATAAAAAAATGCCTTGAGCTACATTTGCTCTCCAAAGGTTCTCTTCAGATCGACACTGGCCCTGACTGTTCTGGAGCCCTATAGTCAAGATTCTGTTGAGCATCCTGCCAGGAGCAGCAGAAAAAAATCTGGTTACTTCATTTATACTTCTTACAAACATTTCAGTATACGGGGCATCTAAGTTATATAAAGTAGTGAAATATTAGAACTAGTGCAAATAAGTAATGTTACGGTACGCAACCAGTGGCCTGTACTACGAAGCGGGGTTAATTGGCTTATCGAGGTAACTTGTCGGATTTAAGGTACCACAGTTTAAATGGACTTCATATTCGTTCGCTTACATTTTGCCCAGACTACCTTAAATCCGACAAGTTACCCCGATAAGCCAGTAACCCCGCTTCGTATAAGTACAGGCCACAGAGGTATTCTGGTTTTCTTTAACTCGCTCTTTCGCGCCCCCCTAATCAAATCGTGTCCTAGGCGATAGTAGGAAGGGAGGTACAGATTATATACGTGTACAACTGTGTTAAGTCGCTTTGAACAGGAGCGCAATATACGGGTGGTCGTCGCCTTCTGCTTCTCTCTTAATTTTGAAAGGCTTTAAGTCAATGACGCTGTGAGACAGCTGGAGTCGGCTGCCATGACGATGCTGTAAACTGATATATTGTGTGACTCATACTTGATTACATGCTTCCAGACCTGGGAGATGCCGTTCATTATGAGACTCACCGGCAGCGATTTCACTCTTATATTACATTGCCAATACAGTTCCACTTTAATCTCTGGGACAAACTAGAATCTGTATTATATTGAATTTCATTTGTGTTACTTATTCGGCATTAAAAATAGGCCTATCGGTCTATTGCTTAAGGGCACCTTTGCCTCAATCAGACAGGGTGGACTTTGGAGTGGGTAACTTTTAGAGGTCTTTTGGAGCAGATTCCTAAATTCCCAAGGGCTTCTTTGGTGCTGGAGGTTGTGGTGGAGGAGGGGGCGGCCGGTCTCAGAAACGCACGTTTGCGCAGCAGACCGAACGCATTTCACGCTGCCAAGGTTCTGCCCCGGGCACTAAATACGTCTGAGAAGTAGCATCGTGAAACGGCAGTGGCTGCTGCATGAATATGGTTTCCTTGCCGGCTCGACTGTTGCTTCTCAGCGGGTTGATCCTGCCTCTCTGCGGGACGGAGAAGGCTCGACAGCGGGGGCTCCGGCAGAGGGATGCTGAGATCGGGGACAGAGTAAGATTTAATTTAATTCGAAAACTTAATCACTCGTTTCAATTACAGAAACATAGTTTTCTGCTGCTTCTGTACTACAATGATGCATTACGAAAATATACCGAGGGACAATCAACTGAACGATTAAAACTTTATGCAGGATGTTGTCGAATGTACCGGTTGTAACTTTTAGTCGTTTTTGCAATTTATGATATTGAGCGTTTAAAATATATTCATATTACTCTTGAAATAATAATACGAAAATGTTTTAAGATTTCTTTAAACATTGCCGAAGTCCCTATATATTAGAGGTAGCGTCTCCCTGTTTGCCATACAAAGTCCAGTCTGGATGCTCCAAAGACCAAGAATTAACAGGAAAAAAAATCGATTCTTAGTGGTTTGACACTAATCCGTAAATATACCTTTGCAGCACGCCGAGGCGTTTCGGCGTGGAACTAAAGAGAAGGGAAATGTCGTGGCACATCAAAAACTTGTTTTAATTGATGGAATTTGGATTTTTTTTTTTTTTTGACATTGCCACAAAAGGGAATTTGGAGTTGAAAGTAAATGCTCGACATTATTTAAAGTAGAAGTTAGTGATTTCATTGGAATGCGTTTGAAGAAGTCGTCCGGATCGCCGCAAAGGGGGAAAAGATAGGACGAGGGGGGATTTGGGGGGGCTTACAAAATTGAAAAAAAAAAAATGGATTGGTCTGGGTTGGGGGCCCAATATGATATGCTTTCACGGGGCCCAAAATCTCAGCACCACCCGAAGTGATACACGGTTCTGCAAACCCCTACTTAAGTCACGCCGTAGTGCACTGGGAGCGATACAGTCATCCTGTAGTTTACCAGGTCCCTGTCCCTGTAGGTGCACTGAGACTGGGGGCGCTGTGTGCGCGACACCGCGTCAAGCTGGTTTCTGGTGTTTTGCCAGGTGTAATTTCCATTTAGTTTTAAAGTAATTTTCCACTTAATTTTTGAATTCACAGGCTGCTCTGCGATGGGTTGGCGCCTCGGGCGGTTCCCGGCCTCTCGGATAGGTTCTGGTCCCCCTGCGTCCTCGAATATAGAACAAATGGTAACAGAAAACTGATGGATGAAAATGAAATGGTACTTCAAAGAGCAGGACCCAACCCCCCCAAGAACGGCATCCATGAGAAACAAAATCAGATTTTCAACGGTCTCTGCGATCTCTTCAGAAGCTGTACTTATTTATTCCCATGTCAACCAAATTCCATTTTTCAGGTACCCACAAATATCTGTGAATGCAATCAAAAAAGCAAAAATGCCAAAACTCTCGTATATAGTTTGGTTACTTATGTTTAAGGTTAGGGCTGGGTAGGGGTTAAGGTCGTCATGGTGGGATTAGAGTTTTCCCCAAGGAAATGAATGGAGAGTCTCTACAAAGATATAATTACAAACCTGAGTGTCTGTGGGTAAAAGTCCATAAAGGAACATTCTGGATGTTACTTCAAATTTAGCGTAACCCAAAAGAATACGTTAGTAATCCTTTAAACCAAAGTTTGCACAAAATGTTACTCTTGCAACACGGGAGCTAAATCTGTCTTTACGTACAGGTGGCACTTTGACGACATGTGGAAACCGCGCACAATAGAGAGACCAAATTATATGCATGTTGTCTTCAAATATGTTCTGCTTCCAGAGAAAGTGGTGAAGCCAGACAAAACTTGGAGAGTTTGGAAAACGAAGCGCGATTTAAGAATAATGTGGTCCGATCAGACAGCTGAGAGTTTACTTTTAGCTTTTTTCTCCTTCCTGTAATATACCTGAGTCTAGAAGAAAAGCCCTCTGTTTCTCCACCATTCCGCGTGTTCCCAACGGCTCCATTGCTTGCTGGACTTCGGTGCGGCGCCAGGAAAAACCCCCTCCGGCTCGCCCCGCGGCCAGCCCTTTTCCTAGAGAGCCGTCAGGGCGCCGGACCTCCACGCTTGCCTTCGGTACGCGGCCATGGAGGTGGACGTCATTTCAGTCTGAGATCGATGCGATCTGGTTTCGCTGGAACGTAAACCGAATGAAACCATAATACAATTAGACTGTATGGGAAGACCAGGAAGTTCCAGCGGCATCTACAAAGTACAACTATATTCAAGATTCAAGATTCAAGATTCAAAGAACTTTATTAATCCCAAAGGGAAATAGCTTTTTATACTATATAATACTATTTATTATAATCTATATTCCCGTTGACCACTGTTGCAGTTCCCTTTGAATTCTGCTTTTTGAATTGCTCTTCTGGGCACCATTTCCAAAGGCCTGTCGGGTGTTTCATGTATCATCATTGTAATATTGACGAATTGAACGTAGTGAGTATGGCTTGTAGCTTTAAGTATTAAAAAAAAAAAAAGAGTAAAACAACATAACGCGCTAAGTGTGATGCAGAACCCAAAACTTTTGCAACGGCCCATGTTTTGATATGTGACAAAGAACCAACTAAACTCACACCCCTTACTCCTGACAGTCATGGTATTCTGTATGGCAATAACAGACCAGACTTTTTGGCCGAAACCAAGTCGTCGTCTAGACAGCAGTAACCAGACGCAATAATCTTGTAATTTTTAACTCGGGCCCACTGTTAATATAACGTGGCCTGGTGCTGGTTCCCTCTTTTATGAAAACGTCGGCATCTAAAAATAGCCTTGGAATTACTAAATCGCTGTGTGCCTCGCACCCGTTTGAAAGTCTCCGGCAACTATGCCAGCGCCGCTGGCTTTTCCCGTTTCGTCCCAGCAGACAGACGTGCTCTACCGTCCGCCGCCACAAAACCTCCCAGACAAGCGGGTCCTTGTATCTGTGGCACCTACAGCACAACACAGAGAAGGGGGCTTTGTATTCTGCTGGAGCCGTTCATTGTCTTTCTAAAGGGTACAGGATACGTTCCTCTTCGGGGATTTGAGTGGCGTTGTTTTGTTGTTCAGTACAATTTCACAGTCATCATGCAGCCCAGCTGCAGACTTCAGAATGGGGTTTTTAAATTGCCTTTTCATGAATCTAAACAAGTTTGAATGTTATTAATGGAATCTGTAGTGGGAAATTTGAAACGAAAGGTCAGGTTTTTGAACCAGACTAATCCCGTTGGTGTTATCACCATGGAACAAGCGATGTGATGTTTCGCTGAGGAAGGCAGAACTGCTTCTCTTTTATTCCAGCATCTGTGTAAACAGTGACAAAGTGGAAGTGAATCACTCTGCAGAGTCATCTGGCAGTGGCCATTGGCGTGGGATGACTCAGCGTAAATCTTGGCGAGGGATTTTCAATCCGGACAGGAAAAGTGGTCGTGCCCTTTTTCAAACGCTGTGGTCCATTGTCACCCTTCATACTGGAGTTACTGTGGATAGTTCATCTAGTGGCCTGATCTGCAGTGACAGTTCAACACCTACAATGCACCAAATTATATATTTTTCAATATTAGTTGGTTCTTTTGATTCCCAAAATTAGTTCTAGCTGTGTCACTGACACTGAGGTTGTGTGATTCTCTGTGTGAACAAGACATTTTGCACATATTTTTTGTTTAAGCTAGTCTTGGTGTTCCACGGCAGTGACAGTTTCACAATAAAGGGGCCATATAGCTTTTTGAACCTAGACAGGGTAAAACCAATGGATTTTCCAGCACTGGTTGAGGTGGTATTGATTTGCACCATTAACAAACCCAGATGGTTCCATGACCAGGAGAAGAATTTGACCGCTGATGTCACTGTTGAGTCACAGCTGCCTGAAGTTAGAGGCCTCATGTGGGAGATCCCCCAATGCCCTGCCTCCTCTCCCTGCTCCTACAGTACACCAGCTGCCTGCAGGGACCTCCGGGGGTCCCGGGCCGTGAGGGGAACCCCGGCGTCAACGGCATCCCCGGCACGCCCGGCATCCCGGGCCGCGATGGCCTGAAGGGTGCGAAGGGCGAGTGTGAGAGGGAGATCTTCGAGGAGCCCTGGAAGCCCAACTACAAGCAGTGCGCCTGGAACTCGCTCAACTACGGGATCGACCTGGGCAAAATCACGGTGGGGCTCGAGGAGAGCCTGGCGGGCGTTAAACACTACAACTCTAAGTGATGCTTAAGTTCATATATACAGTGTATGCATATATATATACACACTAAACATATTATATACACCACATGTAATAAACTTATGGTTTATAGTGTATGTTTCTGTGGGTTAGGACTGGAAGGTCACCAGTTCAAATCCCGCAGCTGGTAGCGTGATTTCACCATTAGGTTGTTGAGCAAGGCCCTTTATTAACCCCAGCTGCTGCAGCGACACTGGCTGACCCTGATCTCTGATCCTCACTTGTATGTTGCTTTGGACAAAAGCATCTACTAAACGAACAAATGTAACTATCAGAAATATGCTATTTTGTTTAATAAACAGAATGACCTTTGAACTCAGATGTGATTTGGCACATTTGGCTAGTAGCCTGATGATGTGCAGACTTTGGGTCATGTGACCGTCTCCTTAGCCACGCCCCCCTTCCTTTATCTCCACCCGCAGGAATGCACGTTCACCAAGATGCGCTCGGACAGCTCGCTGAGGGTGCTCTTCAGCGGTTCCCTGCGGCTCAAGTGCAAGACAGCTTGCTGCCAGCGCTGGTACTTCACGTTTAACGGGGCGGAGTGCGCAGCGCCGCTACCCATAGAGTCCATCATCTACCTGGACCAGGGGAGCCCTGAACTCAACTCCACCATCAACATTCACCGCACCTCTGCAGGTGGGAGCAAACTAGGTTTGCATGTTCCCCAAACTCCGCCCCCCTCTCCCCTGAGCGCCAGAGCACGTTCCCCAAACTCCGCCCCCCTCTCCCCTGAGCACCAGAGCACGTTCCCCAAACTCCACCCCCCTCTCCCCTGAGCACCAGAGCATGTTCCCCAAACTCCGCCCCCGTCTCCCCTGAGCGCCAGAGCACGTTCCCCAAACTCCACCCCCCTCTCCCCTGAGCACCAGAGCACGTTCCCCTCTCTCCGCCCCTCTCTCCCCTGAGTGCCAGAGCACGTTCCCCTCTCTCCACTGAGCGCCAGAGCACATTCCCCGAACTCCGCCCCCCTCTCCCCTGAGCACCAGAGCACATTCCCCGAACTCCGCCCCCCTCTCCCCTGAGCGCCAGAGCACATTCCCCAAACTTGAAGAACTCAAGAACAGTGATTGTGTAAATATTTAAGTTGTACTTGCAGTTGCATTTAATTGTTTCTCTTACCTGATGTTTCTGTGCGGTTTGTGCTTTGCTTTTTGTGGGTCATTAATGTCTGATCTGCTTTGAAATGATTTCGCAGAGCGATGTACATCCTACAGTTGAGCCTAGATAAGCCTAACAGGTGTAACCACCGAGATGTGTGGTGTTTATGATAAGCCAAGCATCATGTGACACACCGGACCAATCAGAGTTCATGACACACGGTGCTGATGTCACATTTGCTGTTCTGTGTCCAGTGGAGGGCCTTTGCGATGGGATCCAGGCTGGTCTGGTGGATGTGGCCATTTGGGTCGGCACCTGTGCTGACTACCCACGGGGCGATGCTTCCACCGGCTGGAACTCCGTGTCCCGTGTCATCATCGAGGAGCTGCCCAAATGAGGGGTGGCCCCCCATGAGAGATCCCCTGGAGGGAGACCATCGGCAACCAGCCCCACGCCCCTGCCAATCTGTGTGCTAGCATCGGTTCAGGATTGTGGAGTAAACCTGTCACTGGTGGGAAATTAGGCGTTTTTTGTAAAGCTCAAATGTTGTAGGAAAAAAAACGTAGTTTTGGATTTGCAAATTTTAGCCTGAGCTATTTTATGTTCTGGAACATCAGATGCCAATATCACTTTTTATATATGCAAATAAAAAATTACCTTTTTTTAAGAAATATATTTTAGCTAGTCATATCAGTTCTTGTCAAATCAGTTCATTTTTGTAATACATGACACAAACAGCTAAACTTTGCTATGTACTTAAAACACACTTACAAAACCATTTCTGTTACCTCATGTTAAATCACCGTATCACCAAAAACGTTACTGAATATCATTTATCATTTAAAGGATCGTTAAATTTCATCTTGGTACAGGAGAATGAGAATATAATTTTCTCAGATTACACATATAAAAACACACTTTTATGTACAACTGCAGAAACAAATCACAGTATTTCATAAATATTGAAAAGTGAAATAGTCACAAACTTTTACATGTAAAGAAACTTTGTTCTGGACATTATTTTTGCAGCATTTATTCAACTGGGAACAGGAAAAATGGAATTTAATTCCCGAACACTCTCACGGTCGAGGGCCGTTTAATTAAACGGTGGTATATGCTTGTGGCCTGCTGAAGCTACACAGGATGAAGAGGGCAAAAGCAGGCTGTAGAGAAGTTGAATCTGTTTCCAAATTTGTGCGCACAAAAATACGACTGAAGACTTAACACCATCCCATCAAAATTCAGTAAATAAAAACATACGAAAGAGACTTATACATTTACAATTTTCACACAACTGGCCTGAGGGGAGTTGGGGGGGTGGTGGGGTGGGGTACCCCAGTAAGTCAGATCTGCCTTTGGTTGTGGGCCGTCGAGATGTTCAGAGATTCTGATGATGTCACTTCCCCCTCGTCTGATCCAGGGAGCGGCACTTCGTTTTGGGAAAACCACATTAAGTACATAAAAGTTTTTACGCTTCCTGACAACAAACTAAAAATAAATTTGATTCCATTACTCATTAAAACTCGGGAGGATGGGCTGAGGGATGGTACCCTAAGATAGCTGAGCTTGCTTTCACATTTTTATTCATTGTCTGTTATAACCAGACTATAACATGCTTTCAGAAGGAGGTCATTCCTTGTCCGATCCGAGGCCGTCTGGGTGCTGTGTTGTGGGAGCGGATAACCAACCACACGCTCGGGTTCCGCTCCCTCAGGAGTCTTGGGCAGGGCGGAGATCCTCCCCCGGGTTGGTTTCTCCTGCTCACGCCTGCTGGTCCAGCAGGAGGTGGGACATGTTCTCATACACGACGAAGGTGATGCAGCATGCGGGGGTCACCCTGAGCAGGTTGGCCAACATGCCTTTGTAGAAGCCCCTCATGCCCTCATTTCTGGTAGGGAAGGAGACACGCGTCATGTGACACTTCAGCTCGACCATGTGACCACGTGAGAGTGAACAAGTGGATCTGCACGTAAAGGATCTGCAGGAGAGCAGGCGTCACCTCCATGTCCTGCGAATGACGTCCAGCGCTCCGCTGTACGTGGTGTGCTGGTCCTGTAGCCGGGCCCGGACCACCTGGTATGGGTATGTAGTGGAAACGGCAAAGACTTTGGACAGGGCGGCCATGGAAAGATATTCTAATGGATTCTGTGGAGAAAGTAATTGCCGTGCTGTGATTCTCTGGCGAGCAAAGTAATTGTATTCACAAGCTCCTTTCTGTTCTATTCTGTTCTTGTGAGAATTCTGTTGGGAGTCCAGTTGTGACCAGTAGTTTTGTTTTTGCACAGGTCACATTTCCATTGCATCAAGCATAAACACTTTGTTAGGTTTCAAAGGATGTACACACACAGGTTTGTATTTATGTCTTTGTGGGGAACGTCCATTCATTTTTATGGGTAAAACCCTAATCCCAACAATGACAACCTTAACCCCAAACCAGCCCTAAACTTAACTATAAGTCACCACCAAGTTTTCTGATTACAGTCACAGATTTTTTATTAAACCGAGTTACCAAATATGGAGACTTAAAAAATACCCCCATCAGAGAAAGATAACAGGTTTTCATCACATTGTGGGGAATTTGGTCCTCACAATGCAATAATTGCAAACACACACACACACACACACAAAACACAGTGAGTTGTTCATTCATCACATTGTTCACTCACCAGTTTCGCTTCTGAAGCTCTGCTCCTGTACTTATTGTAATCCCTCTTCAGCTCCTCGTATGCCATGAACTGCAGTGCACCATGGGACGTGCCGAACAATCCGGGCACAAAACCCTGGAATCACACAGAATGGCACATCATTGTTGATCAGCTTTGAAATCGCACAACTTCCCATTTCTTAAAAGTACTCCTGTTGCTGGTAAATCTGGTTTAACTCTCTTTAAGCTCAAGACACCTTATGTCTTCAGGAAGCTCACTAATTTGGTTTTAAAGCGCCCTCTAGTGGTGAACTTCTAAAAATTCAACACTAAAGACTCATGAAGACTGACTGACTCATGCCATGGTCTCTAAAGCACTGTTCTTAATGTCTTTGGGTTGCGGCTTAATGACCAAGGAAAACTGAACCACTGCTCTAAAGAGTAGGGATTTCCCAGGGAGGCAGAACAAGCATTACCCTGTACAGTCCTGCTACACCCTCCTGCCGGTATATTTTCACCAAGGCGTCCAGCATGCCTCTGTACTGCCTGCCAGAGTGGTCGGTGTTGTACTGCAGGACCAGGCGGGTTTTGGTTACCCAGATCGGGTTGGTCAGGCAGAGCGTCATTCCACCTAGAAGGAAAGTTTGGCCTGGTTAGAAGTGGAACAGCACAGACTCAGATGGTAACAAACCCCCATCCTCAGTCACCATTTCAAAAACACGTTATTCAAGAATTGTAGAGGAGGTGGGTCCAGGCAACTAGAGGGGGACAAAGAAATCTGATTGGTTGGCCCTACCTCCTTGAGCCACTTGACCCACCTCCTGTACAATCTGATTGGTTATTTCTCTGAACCAAAAATTTTTCATTCTGCCCTCAGAACATTTTTGTGCAAGTATAACTCCCATGAGTGAGAAGCACACCCCAAATTAAAGGCTGCCAGTGGTATATCCCACCACCAATTGGAGCAGCTCATTTTGGGAACATGGACGTTATGATGAAAGGTTCCAGATCATTTATTTTTCACCCTTCTGAAGAGCTCATGCTTCTGACTTGGATGACCCAGCAACCCAAACTTAATTCTGGTTCTTGAAAGACCAGTGACAGTCTGAGAAAGTATAGATGTATAAACTGTGTCCAGTGTCTATTTTTGTTAACATTTTAATTTTAGGTGTCTTCGGGTGCCAGAGAAATGGGTATTTTGACAATGTCCCCCTTTGTCTCAGTCCCCGACAAAGTGGCAGAATATAAGCATCGGTACACTGATCCTGTATGACCAGAAAGGCTGGATGGAGACTGCAGATGTACCATGTTCCACAATGTGGATCAGAACCCCCTGGGAAGACAGAAGACTGGGACACGGACACACAGCACCCACCTGCCTGAGCGGCTGCTATCAAGTGCTCCGAAGCGCTGAGTTCAGAGCGACGGTCTTCTCGAGCGTAGGCCTTGATTGCATTGTAGCTGCAGGGGTTGATGCAACACTTAGCCAGCCCAATAGCAAAGATGTGTTTTATGTATACATTCACTTTGACACTTTACGCTTTTGTAGTTTTTGTAAGATTAATTAATGTTTTTACAGTGAAAGCACTAGCTTTTCCTTGGTTGGTGTTTCTGTTGCTGGTAATGACTCTTCGTCGTTTAATTGGTAAAAATCTGAGTCGCACATGTCAAGATACGCACAAGAAGAAGTACAGTCCCCAGGACGCTCCAGCGCCCCAGACGTTGGGAGTTACTCCTTGGTAGAGTCCCCTAAGTCCCTCTGCCCGCCAGATGCTCCGAATGCAGTGCAGCATTCCATTGTACTTGGGCCTCAGCTCCAGTCCATCACTCACTGCACGGGGGGGGGGGGGGGAATTGGTTATGGTTCTTTCTTATGAATGTGGAATTTTCCATATGCAATAAATAACTGAATCACATAATTAATGTCTGCTCTTAACACATCATTTTTTTAATAAATGAAAACGTCAAACATTTCAATACCTCCCTTCAGCTGTCCTGCCAGGAATTAAAATTGTTACTCTGGTCACAAAACGATCGGGCCCTCCATAAGACAGATTTATATTTAAACTATCCGTTTCAGACTGGGTCAATGATTACAATAATTAAGTGTCTTAATTCCTGCATCTCCTTCTGGTCATCACCAAAAACGGGAATAATACGCACCTGCAAACCGGATCTTGACCAGATCGAGGGGGTGTAGCACCATGGTGGAGATGACCCCTCCGGTCACACCCGCCACTAAATTTTCGTATCTGACATGAGAAAAGAAGCGCCGGAGTCTAGCTGTCACCGACACCGGGGTGCCTTCGCGTTCCGGTGACACCGACAGCGGCGTCGGGGATCCCACGGGACTCATGCTCACTCACAGCAGGTCAGTACCCAGGCGCAGGGTTAACTGACATCTGAACTAGACACCTTGTGCAACGAACACGTCCACTACGCACCCACGCTACCGCTGCACACTAGCGTTCCACCTCTTCAGGCGCTCGTTCCAAAGCTGCGTGTTTATGACGCAATAAAAGTGCTCCCAAGTCTGACATCTCTATCCCATAATACAACGCGCCAAAACTAGACAAACCACGTGGACGAAGAGCGGAAGTCCCGCTCTGTCATTTTAAGAGCCTGGGAGGCGTTGGCACTTTTCCCATACTTTAAGACATTAACGACGATTTAGTCCTGGGAACATGAAATGATAATTCTTTAAAATATACGCCATAATTTTAAATGTATGCAGTGTATTCTCCGATACAAAAGGTGGCAGCAAACCCAAGACACTCAGGTCAAAAGTTGACCATAAAATTCTAAATCTAGGTAAACTCCATAGATATGGGTGCAAGTCCAATGTAAACAGTTGGTAGAAATTTTTGTAAAGCTGCGGTATGGAAAATGGCATTTAATATTTTTGTGTGGGCACATTGTAGATTATGCAATCGGTAAATCTTGTTTCAGGTAGTTTCACGTTTATTATAGGTCATGTACTCAAGTTGTATTATTTTATGAGAAGTCAGGAAAACATAACTATAGGAGTGTATGTATCTCACACGAAATGCAGCAAACATTATCCCGGACATAGGTACATTTATTAGGTATATTGCCACTTACCATTGATGTAACAAACATAACTCAAGAGAAAACAGCAGAACACACGAACAATATCTATTTTTATTACTGAATTCCACGATTAAAAATAAAACAATACAAATTTAAGAATTAAAGTAGTTTGCTGAGCAAATGAAGTCGTACAGGTCGTACTCCAGTGCGGTAGGGGGCAGCATATCCATCAAATGACCCGAGTTCCGAGAATCTTTTAAAGATGGATTCCTGAACAGAACACATGTTTACTTTGTATTTTTTGTATAATTGGATTTGGAATCGGTGTAGTACCATACGAAGAAACCGGATAACCACGCGTGATAAAAGATGAAAGTGAAGGTCCTGTGCCGAAACCCGGATGATTATGTCCGCGAAACGACGAAAGATGTGCAGCGTGGTGGGTCTCAGGTTACCGAGCAATTCCTGCTCTTCTTAAATCATTTACACACCCTCGTAGGTCGTGGTTTATACCGACAGCCAAAACCGTTACCGTTTCTCCGTTTTGTTGGCTTGAGCTCATTTTTATCTCAGATAAAATACGAGTGTCCTGTTAAGATGTTAATTCTCATGTCTTATCTGTAGTGAATCAGACATTTACCTATTTGTGCTGTTAAAAAGCTACCTTTCTTCGTCTGAAGTGATTGATTATGGTAACGGTAATCAAAAGGATTTCTAACAACGTTGCGTTTTAGTTCCCAGAAATTATGACCCGTCGCTGCACCCTTTCGAGGTGCCGAGGGAGTACACACGGGCTCTGAACGCCACCAAGCTGGAGCGTGTGTTCGCCAAACCCTTCGTAGCCTCCCTGGATGGCCACAGGGATGGGGTCAACTGCATGGCCAAGCACCCCAGCAGCCTGTCCACGCTGCTCTCTGGATCCTGCGATGGCGAGGTATCAGGCAGCCGGCCCCTTACACCAGCAAAGCAGGGTTGCCAACTTCAGGCAGCTGGCCGAGTGACATTTTAAATTTGAGACAATTTACATGAATTTAAGGGTTTGATTACCTTGTAAATAGTCTGTAGGGTTAGCAAACTACCCCAACGCTTCTGATGTACCTAATTTTAGGTCTATAATGGAGTAATATAGATTTTCCGTAAGATTTCTTGCATGAGAGTCTGAAAGCGTGAGTGTCACGCCAGATGCGTGAGAGTTGGCAACACTGGCGAAGGAAGTAAATGAACCTCTCTGCAGATGCTCCATTTCAGGAGGCTCTTCCTTTTTTTATAGTATTTTTGAGTAAATATTATTTCGATGGAAATTGTATTGAAAAGATGTCAGTTAAGGGTTTAAACGGTGAATGTCATTTCAGTCATTCCAGTCCAGCATTTTCATCTTGAACTTGCACCAGAGAAACAGTTGTTCTTTTGCCTGTATCTGACAAGGTTTAATAACAGTGCGCATGATTTTAGCCTTGATTGTCGTAAAGCCTCGATCATTCTTCAGTTAACTGTTAAGGTCGGTATTTTGTTTTCTCTTCCACCTGACGAGGGGTCTCTGTGCCACAGGTCAAAGTGTGGAACCTGCCAACACGCAAGTGTGTGCGAACACTGCAGGCACACGAGGGCTTTGTGCGGGGGATGTGCGTACGCTTCTGTGGGGCGTCTTTTTTCACGGTGAGCGCCCCCTTCTGGCCACCTGCAGCAGTGGCTGACAGTAGTATTAGACACACGTGAGTGGTTCCTAACATAGCCAGTTTATAGGTGGGTGATGACAGGACCATCAAGCAGTGGAAGATGGACACCCCCGGATACGGCGAGGAGGAGGAGCTTTTGAACACCATCCTGGGAAAGGTAGGCTGTTACAGCTTCGCTTAAGGCACAGCCAAGACTTATGGGGAAAGAGTCTGCAAAATGAATTAATATAGTAAATTTGCAAAAATAAAAGCAGAATATACAGGAGAAACTTGACATCGTGCAAGGTTTATGGTTACACTCATCAGGCTGCGGTGACTCTGACTTGTTGCCTTGATTTAACACGGATCTGATGTTTTTAGGGCTGTGTGTGCACAGAAATTTGATCATTTCAAATCAGATTTGAGTCACTGTCAAATGTGGTCCTAGATTGGATCCATATCTGATTTGTGGCTATGCACCATGAATGAGATCGGAATGTGGGTTTATAGCCTTATGCATGCGGCGAGCATTTTTTTGCTGTTGGTTACACAGATGACTAGTGCAAAAGCATATCAATTTACACATGCAGGCCATTTTGGAAGAGCGATGTGTTAGATACAGGTCATTAGTAATTATAAATGTGAACAGTCAAGATGATCTGAGCAAACGGATCGGGATTGAACCGTGAGGACTGTAATGTGACTGTAGCTTGTGTTGTGTTCCTCAGACTGTGCTAACCGGCATTGACCACCACCAGAAGGAGAGCTTGTTCGCCACCTGCGGCCAACAGGTGGACATCTGGGATGAGCAGAGGAGCAGCCCCATCCGCACCTTCACCTGGGGGGTGGACAGCTTCAGCTGCGTCCGCTTCAACCCTGTGGAGGTCCGTCTCTGGGCGGGGGAGGCTGGCGCTACATGTTTCTTACATCTGAATCCGCAGGTCCAGCTTCACTGGCGTGCAGTGAAATGTCAGTGATTCTGTGAGCGGCGCAGTGGTTCAGTGGGTAGACATGCTGCTTCCCCATATTGTTTGGGTTTCCTCTGCTTTCTTTCTACAGCCCAATCAAATCCCAGCTAATCGGCACTTCTAAATTTCCCGAAGGTTAGGGCAGCGTTTCCCAATCCAGTCCATGTTTTTGCTCCCTCCCAGCTCCCAAAAAACGTGGACTGTCTGGATGACCCCGAGGACTCGGTTGGGAAATGCTGGGTCAGGACTGTGTGTGCATGTATATGCCCTGCTACTGACTGGCCTATGGTGTACCTGAGAGATTCTGGGCAGGAATCTCTGGAGCCTAAGCATCTAAGAAGGTGGCTAGCTGCCATGTCAGGAGATTCGGCCTGACCCACTTCTGATCTCCGCCGCGTCCTGCTGCGCTCGGCCCCTGCTGATATCGGTGCTTGATCACAGCTGTCCTTCCACAGACCGAGCTCCTGGCCAGCTGTGCTTCAGACCGTAGCATCGTGCTCTACGACATGAGGGAGGCCAACCCCCTGAAGAAGGTGGACCCCCGTCGCCAGTCACACCACACGCGGGGAGCCGGGTGTCCCGTCGTGGCGATGGCGTGTTCATCTCTGATTTTAATTGTCCCCTCAGGTGATTATGAGTCTGCGGAGTAACACACTGTGCTGGAATCCCATGGAAGCGTACTACTTCACCTGTTCAAATGAAGATTATAAGTAAGTGGGCTTTCCTCCTCAAAGTTTGTTTTGGAGTTCAGGATGCAGTATTTTTTGTGCTCGAACTTTTACTTCTCCTGTTTGGTGCCTGTATGCTTAGCTGAGTAGCATTTAATAACTTTTGACTTTGGTGTCTTTGTTGAAGCACATATAGAACATGCAGGGTTCTGCAGTGAGCTGGCGTGTCGTTAACGTTTTACTTTATGTGATTCGCTGTTCGCTGTGTCGTTCCCTTTCGCGGGATTTATTCGTATTTATGAATTTCATCTGCTGTTATCCTCTTGACTGAGCTGTTAAGATGATGGATCCTTTACTGGGGTTGGTTTGGGTTCTGTGTGTAGCTAGGGCTGCTCGATTATGGCAAAAATCATAATCATAATCGCAATTAATTTGGTCAGAATTGATCACGATTATTTAACACAATTACTCAATGACTATGGAACTGTCATCCATTTATTGAACTTCTGAAAAACACTTGTCTTTTTAACAGTGGATTTCCTTGAACTCTTAATATAATTAAACTGAGAAACTAATAAAAAGAAGCTGGAAAGGGCTGCACTGGATTTATAACACAAGAAAAAACGGGGGCATCATTGTGAAACGAAATGCGGCACAATAATCGTTTTATCTCAATTATTTTGTTTAGATGATGCTTGGAAGCCAAAATCGTAATTGAAATTAAAATTCGATTCATTGCCCAGCCCTACGTGTAGCTGGCGGCCGGCTGGACTGCGGCCTTCCCAGATCATCTCGGAGCCGTGTCACTGAGGCCTGTTTGACCAGTGAGCGTGACAGTGGCTGAACTCGTGGTTCATTCCGGAAGGTGTTGCCGCTGGCCCTTTAAGAGAGTCCCATCCTCCTCCTGTCTCCCCAATGTTGCGTAGCCTCTACACGTTCGACATGCGGCGGCTGGACACCCCCGTGACGGTTCACAAGGACCACGTCTCTGCCGTGCTCGACCTGGACTACTCGCCGACGGGGAGGGAGTTCGTGTCGGCCAGCTTCGACAAGACCATCCGGATATTCCCCAAAAACATGGGCCACAGCAGGTGAGTGTGGCCCCGCCCACACACTGCACTCCTGCCGCTCCTGTCCTCTGGTCCGTGAGCAATCGATACCGTGCCAGAAGCACGCCTTGTCGCAGAGCTCTTCATAGTGATCCAGGTTGATTAATAGCGGCCCGCCCTATTGAATAATGAAGGGTGGGGGGTAACATGCTCATGAGCTATAACTCTTATGATACAAGACCAGATGAGAATGATCTGATGTTGAACCCCCCCACTGTAATTACTGGTAATTGTAGCTACCCTTGTGAATAGTTCTTAGCTGTTACTGACTTGCCGCTTTCAGTTTTTTTTAGACCTGCTAATTTATCGATGACTTAATTTTCTTGGCTCTTCATGCACCTATTAGCTTGTTTGATGTTTTGCCGTAAACTCTTCACTCTGGTGGTTTTGCTTTGCTGCAATCTGAGCTATGGGTGCCTTGTTCAGTTCCGGTCGTTCCGTCTTTTTCTGGTTAATACTTGATGATAATGAACCACAGTGCGATGAGATGGCATCTTCTGTTTCAGCGGTTAAGGGAGAGCATTGAGCTAACAACGCGCTGATGAAGGGATGAGTGTTTGACGGATGGTTCTCGCTGGTCGCTGCGTGGCTGCCGCAGTGGGCGAGGGGTTGGGGTGCAGAAAGCTGACGGAAGCGCCGAGGTGGGGGTAGCAGAGTAGATTGATCCTGGGCACATTTTGTGGGTTTTATCTGGGCATGAGAGGAATTTGCGAGGCCGTGGTGTGCAAGCATGTCGCTATTCGCTGTTTGGCACCCAGTGGAGTCCAGGCTATAATGCCTGTTAGTAGGAGTGATATCGATCCCGGTCTTCATGAAGTGGGGGGGGGGGGATGACGACCCTGGTTAACTGGGCGTCGATTTTGATGCATAATATTTCCCAGTTTGCTTAGCAGCAAGTGTGTCCAGTCAGCATCCTTAGCGACTACGATGGGGGTTAAATGTCGATTATGGTGCCATTTGCTGATATGATTAATGAGGCCTGGAGTGGGGGTGGGAGAAGAGACCTAAAGAATGAAATGAGGGTCTTTGAGTTGGGGGGGTTTGAGCAGATAGGTGATAGAATGGGAGTTCAGGAGGGTTTTTGCCTCTGTAATTTTCTGAATCTACTGGCTGGCTTCTTTAGCCGTGTCTCATTCCGCCAACGGTCAGTCTGAGCTCAGCACTGCCATCTACTAATATTTATTTATTTATTGTGTCCCGTAGGTAGTAGAATCAAGTAAACTGGGGCCAAAATACTGCAAACACAAGGAATGGTTTGGGTTTGCCGAGGGTGGGTGTTTGGGATCTAATCGTGAGCCTGGAAAAGGGATTTCTCGTGGCGATGTCACCCCTTATGGGGGAACGTAGAAGAGGTATGAAAGAATGAGTGTGAATTCCAAGGGGAGGGGAGGTTGGGAATGGGAAGTGTGAAGCTGCCATGCTTTTTTCGGCCCCGTTAAATCCGATTATTCATTTGTGTTTATCTGCCCCCCCCCCACAGAGAGGTGTACCACACCAAGCGCATGCAGCATGTCATCTGTGTCCGGTGGTCCCTGGACAGCAGGTACATCATGGCCGGCTCGGACGAGATGAACATCCGCCTGTGGAAGGCCAACGCGTCGGAGAAGCTGGGGGTGGTGAGTCCTCAGCCGCCCACGGCCGCCGCCAGGCTCCTTGACACACCATCACCTTGTTAGTTTTATGCTGTGCTGTTACATTCCAAAGGGAAATGACTATGACATGTAGTCTAATGGTTCGCGATGCGCACTTGTGATTGAAAGGTTACTGGTTCGAATCCCCGTCCAGCCAGGTACCGCCCCCAAGCACTGTTCCCTGGGTGTTGAATTAGCTGCCCCCTGCTATGTCACATAGCCACAGGTGGGATAAATGCAGAGGATGCATTTCGTTTTTTGTGCTGTGGTTTGTCACCAATGACAGTTAATCACTTCACTTAAATTTGTTGGGTTGACTTTATTTATTGCTCTGCTACTTTTTATCGTGTTAAAACTTGTTGCTTATTGTCTGCTTTTATTTTCCATTTCCATAAATATAACCCCTCCCCCCACCTCCCCCCGGTGGCCAAATAGGTTTTTTTTTTTATTTAGAAAATGAACTCTACTTTTACACTCACGCGGTGGATGTTTGTTGCTCATTGCTGATCCCTGGAGGAGTAAGTCCTTGGGGTGCTGAGTTCAGGACTCGTGTTTGATTGCGGGGGGTCCCTGTAAACACTGCGCCCCCCCCAGACAGGAGCACATCGGTTGTGCGTTTCTGACACCATGTGTGACTGAACCCGGTGGGTTTTATTCATTGTATTATAAATTATTTTGTAAGAGAGTTAAAGGATGAGCTGAAGTAGACAGGCGGCCATGCAGTGATCAGGTTTCACTGGTTAAATCCCAGCTTTTCAGCTGATGCGTAACATTTCATTACTTCCCACCACAACCCAAAATGCCCACAGAACCCCCCCCCCTTTTTTTTCGTCTCCCGGGAAACCGTGGCATTAACATCGAGATTTTGTAAAGACCTTCGAATATCGCGAAAAAGTTTTTATGTTCACTTCTGGAGGTTTTGTGGCAAAACGGAAAGAATTTGAAAATTAATGCCTAATTAGGTCATGGCACCGAGTTTATCTAGAGCCACCGACCTACAGAAAGCCGTTCTCCGTGTTGAAGTATGAGGCATGGGTCTGGTTCTATCAGAATGATGAATGGCAAGTCCTTTTCGCATTAATGGAAGCACACCGTATTCACAATGTCATTTTGTCAGCTTATTTACTTATAAGCAGCACAAAACACGGAAACACAGCGACAGACCGAATCTGCGTCGGTGCTCATTATGGCTGACTGCGGGGGTGGCACCTGATACACCGTAAAAACCGGCCCGAGATTTATCTGCAAGCCCTGCCCTTAATGGATCAGACGATGCCCCCCCCCTGCTTATCAGCAGTTTTAAGCGACCAATCACTTAAATCAGTTGATGCTTTTCTAGCTGCATGCTTCACCGTGCCATCTTGGGTATTTTAATTAAGGAAACGCTGAATCGAGTCTCTCCCAGTGTTGCGCTGCATTCAGAAGTTACATCCGTGCCCCTGGCTGAATATGCTTCCTTTAAAAACCCTTTGGTTTTACGACTGTGTGCTAAATGCATGGATGCAGTGGTGGCTGAAGACTTCGCCGCCTCTTGAACACAGAATCGGGGTTGACCAGCCCCCCCCCCCCCCCCGTCTATGTAATGAGAAACTGGGCTGATTTTGCTGTTTCCACTGAAGTTTTGTGCAAACTATAAACAAAATTGGCAGAGTGAAATTGCAAATAGGATGTGTCTCTATGAACAGACGTCGTGATGGTCATCCCGCGAATTCGTCTGCTTCAGCATGGAACGGACTTTCCACAAGCTGATGCTTCTAGAAGGACTAATTGTCATGCCAATGTTGTAATGTTTCTGAACGCGAGAATGAAGCCACAATACAAACGTTCAATATGCACCCAAACGGAATCCGCTGGCCCGGGTGCAGCCTGTTGAGCTCTCATTACATTACTGATGTTACAAAATTCATTTTGCGTTTCACAATTAACACTATAACACATGTGAATCACAATTGTTATTCTATTTAAAGATAAGGTGAGCTGTATATTTTGGAAGTATTGCGTATTGCACCTTAGTCGTGTGTCACATGACTACTCTAGTCCAATCATGATCAAGTAATCACGGCTGCAGTAAAAGCTAGGCTGGTTTCATTAGCTAAAGATGGATAATAATCCTGAGATTGCAGAGCACCTGGGCATGATCAAGCCAGCAGTGTGGCAACATTTTGGTTATCCAGTGGAGTGTAGTATATTTTTATTTACGCTAAAGTCACATAACTACGTAATCTAACATGTTATTTAGTGTGATTCTGTTGCCAGTCAGTGAAACCCAGATTATTTCTTATTCGCCCCCCACCAAAAAAAGAAATTCTGTTTCCATGACACTTTTGCAAAGTTCTTTCTTTTCCATTTGCCACAAAAACCACCTCAAACCACTTCAAAACTTTTTTTGGTGATATTTGGGGTTCCCCCCCCAACAACTTTTTTTCATTTTTGCTAACAATCTCTTAGTTGGCATCTACAAAACGCACGTAATCTTGGTTGGAGACCCCACTACTACGGCGGTCCGTGGGAACTGACCGCATCTCAGGGCATTTTGTGTTCCGATTGATACCTGCCCAAGGTACCTGAGGGTGGTGCTCGTTCCACAAAGATGTAGCTCCTCGTTGTTCCGCTGATGTGACCTCTGAAGGTCTTTCTGCTTCATTCCCTTGGCATCAGGTTCCTCACCCACCTGTTTAAAAAAATAAAATAAAAAAAGTCGTAAGTAAACGTTAAAATTCCTTAAATGATGAGGTTTCTTGGCACCATTCACAGGGGTTGGCAGCGTTTGTTTATTTCCCCCC